TCAGTAAAATATTGCCTTCAATCAAATGAGTTTTAAAGAAAACATGCAAAATAATATGTACTTGAATTATTTCATTGATTGTTCAATACCACCTACTCAAATAATTTATTTCATAAAGATCTACAATATATACAACCAAAAAATTTCTTCTACTATAACAATACAAAAAAATATGTAACTACTGTATAGGAGTTCATACCGTTGCAGTTGACACGGTGTAGAAACCTGTTCCGTTGAGTTGATTACTTCTTTTAAAGTTTGTAATCTGATACATTGGCAAGTCGAAGTAGATGGATTTCTAAAAGCACAAAACGCCAAAAGATTCCTTCTCAAAGTCAAAATTGACTAAGTTCCCTCGAAACCTTCAATTGCATAACTTTATTTACTACACCATTAAGTCTTTTCCATTAGGACGGTGTACTTATCACAATTCGTAGCAAAAATAATTGATAAATTAAAATGTCTCAAAATGTATTATTGAACGAATTATAGATTTATTATACTGTGATTAGCTATGATTCATAAATTGTAACAATTTCATTAACATTTAAAATCCCATTTCAATGGGTCGCGCATCATTTCAATTAAGTGAACTTGCAAGGTGCTTCATTGAATTTGAATTTTTAAGTTAATGTCTCTTTGAAGTTTTTTTTTTTGAAAGTGCACGTTTTTGCTTCCATTTTCGCCTCACAAGATTGTCCTAGAAAAAAGCGATCAACTCAATATATTTCTGAGACGTTCTTAGGAAAAGTACGTGCTCGAAATTGAGTACATTTGCGAAACGTCTGTGTACACGTATGTGCGAAAAGATAGGAAAGCTGACGCAAAGAAGACGGCACATATAAAACTTGATCTTTTATAATTTAGAAATAATAGAAAAAGAGACATTATACAAACGAAAAAAATTACCACTCGTATTGAATATTTATAAAATTCTTTGTTAATCAACTTATTTAGATTAATTTTATTTAAAAAAAAAACCAACACTAAACTAAGTACAGTTTAAACTGAACCGTGAATAGGTTAAAGAAATAAAACGAAAAAATTGAAAGGCGAGTACAACAAAGTATACATCGAAAGAGCAGACGAAAAAAGATGTTTAAGAGTGCGTATTGACACAGACTTTCTATGTGTACCGGTAAATACAACTTTGGCACGATGTATGTACATAAAACTGGCGCACACGGCGGTGGCATAGCTCGGCTGACAGAACGGATGCAGCAGCCACTCTCCCCTTACCTTGGGAAAATGATTCTCAGAGGGGAGCTCCTAGCTTTTTTTTTTTAATTTTGTTTTTTCAGCGCGCTCCATTCGTCTTTTGTACACAGTTCTCTTCGCTTGACTTTTTCCAAAACTCTTTTGGTAATTCTAAGCTGCGTTTTTCCCAAAAATTTATGTGTCTATTATTTGAAAAAAATTGAATACTATCAAACTGAGATTTTGGCAGATGTTTTGAATAACAATTTTCGACTTTTGAATTCATTCATATTTCACAAAAAAGCACTACACGTAAAGAGTTAATCGAACTGTCAATTCAGCTTTTTCAATCGGATCTGACTTACCCGACGAAAAATAACATTACATGCGTTACCATTCATCTTCCTATCCATCATTGCAGAAAAACTCGTTTGTTCTATGTCCAGAAAGAGAAAGACAGTGTTGAGCTTAGCTTATCGATTCAGTTAGATTTCAAACGTATCTGCTGCACTTCCCAAGTAGTGTTGATTGAAAATCCCAATGAAGATATATGCGCTTTTCATCAGGATTGGAAGTGTTAAAAATTTGGTGGCAGAAATTATTAAAAAATATTGTTTATATTCTATCACTGGATTGTATGTACAGACAGGTTCTACTGAATAGATGCAGTAGTCTGATAAGCCTTCTTCTGTCGTCGCGCAGTTACCCCGAGCCAAACGCATACTACTCAACAACATGTGAAGGGGACGACTGTGTTCTGGCTATAGTGCGTGAAGCAGATCACCATGAGTGTGTATACAGCTTCGCACATAATCGACGGCTCGACCCTCTCGGCAGTTCGCTTTGAATTTCGCGCGTGCACAAGATACGCGACGGGAGGAGAGAAAAAAAGGAGGACAAAACACCTTTGACCCGCGCGGGAGAGAAAGAAAAAGCCGGGCCGGGCGAACCGAAGAAAGAGATTGTATCTGCGGTATCTACTGGGCGGGCCTCCTTCCCTCGTCCTCTTCCGCTTGTGCAGTGCGAAAAGGTTTGATCATAAGGTACGAGTATGCATGCGGCTATAATAACCTTCTACCCACACGTGCGTGGTATTCAAGTAAAAACAAAAAAGTACTGATTTCATCGTTGCTGTTGCGTAAAAGAAAGCAGCTTCTCAACCTCATCTCGAAGGGTTACAGCCAAAAAGGAGGGAACGGTATCTGAGAAAAAATAAACTCGAAAGTCCGGGTTTCAAAAATCTGCTGATTACCCTGCTAGTCTTACTTATCAGTTTAAATAGACAGTCTCACTATCCCATAATTACGCAGATCTTTTGTTTTCTCAGCCTTATGTATTAGCTCTTATAGAACATTAGGAATGATTTAAAACCGATTCTATACAATTTAAAAATGTAAAGATAAGATGAAATCTGCATTGTTTCATTCTGAAACTTAATGCAGTTATAAGCAGATTAACAGCTTTTTTCAATATTCAATATTAGCAAATAATGCCTCAACAGAACAACTGCAGAAATTAATTCACATACCGCTGCAGTATCGCATTACCACATGGGCCTCCATCATGATAAACTCGTTCAGAAATGTGGTCGAGTTAGCGATCTGTTTAAGCAAATTCAATAACGATGGCTACTCTCGACGGAACATTGCAACACTGAAACATTGAAGGAAGCAATGCAAAATACCTATCTGTATCCGGATTAACTGCAAAAATAAGAAGAGCTGGTCGACGCACTATATAGCGAGAAACACGCTCGCATGCAAAACCTCTCGAATAATTTGCCCAAGCGCATAGTCCATCCGGACAGCAAATCGCCTTCGACGATGCGTCTTCGAAGCTGCTCAAGCGAGATGATCCCCTGGCTCGTTATAAAAATACATTCGATTGCATTTATGCAGTCTTGTACGCCGCGCGCTTACTAACTCACGCCTTTTTCGCCGAAGAATGGCATTACGCCTGCGTGTACACATATACAGGCACGCGCGCGCGCGCTGGCTGGGTTTTGTCGAATTAATTTTATATTCGCAGCGTCACGCAACAGAGCGAGGATCCGTGTTGCGCACAGCTCTCTCAGCTACCATACGTGCGATCGAATTCACTCGACACTCTTCTTTCATTTATGCTGCACGAAGGGGGAAGAGAAGAACGGGAGTCGCGATGTAAATCTTCGACGATTATTTGGCTTTTTGTTTTTGTTGCAAAATCTTCAATTTAGTTGAAACTTATCGCTCTGCAGTGGCTGCGATTCTTTCAAGAGAAAGTTGAAAGATTTGATACTGATAAGAAGAGTACGTAGCGCAAATCGTATAAATAGCTGCTATTTAAAGCTAAAGATGTTTTGAAGCAAACCGTGAAATACACCGATTTTTTAGTATAACCAAGATGAGTCTTGTTCGTTGTTTCCATAAGACGAGCGCTCCTCAACTTTCTCCCGTTTAAGCAAACAGAGATTCGGAGGTCGAGTGGAGAGTGCACGTAAGCATTGCATGCGCTATTGGCTGCTTCCATTAATTAAAATTTATCGGCTTGCAAGAAGACGATGGTCTCCTTTCGACTACATCGTTGTCCTCATCGACGCCGTCGCCGTTGTTCCAATATACGCAACAAAACCACAAGTGGCAACTTTTATTTATTGAGACGTTAGGCTCTCTTAGCCTCCTCCCCTACCATTAATGGTTCTCCGCGCCCTGCTAATTTATTTCCATGGCCACATACATACATAATAATAAAAGTCGATCGATAGTGATCAAAAACGATCCCTGCAGTCAGTTCATGCGCGAAGGGGTACTCGGTTCGGCAATAATATGATACGTGCACGCACCGAAACTCCAAAAGTACACACCTTATATTTGATCATTAAAATCTTAACTTTCGGTCGACTCACGTATTCTTCGCCTTTTTTATTTCGTCATTTTTCATCGGCTGTCCGTTTCTTTACCTCTTCTTTAGTCTGTTATTATTTCAAAGACACGACCTTTTTTATTTTTTATCCTGTGCAAATAGCCGTTCAACTTTTTTTTCGCGTTACCTGCTAACTAAACGAATATTTAGCAAAGAAAAAGAGAGAAACACTTTGGAAATTTGAGGGCCCTTACTGCATGAAATTATGCTAAGCATTTTTTAAATATCGATGTAATCATTTTATCGCATATTTTTTAATTTAAAAAATATCAATCTATTTTTCGCTTAATTTGAAAAAATGTTATAAAAAAGAAAAAAACATAGAATGAATTAAGACTTACAGCTAGCCAAAACCTTATACCCAAAAATGTATGGAATGTATTCAAAAAACAAAGAATTTTAAAGAAGATTTATTTTAAATCAGTACAAAAGGCATCCAGTTCAATTAAGGCACTTGCAGAACTAAAAAATATAAATATATATTTTTCAATTATTGAATAACATATTTTTTAGCTGTACGTGTATGAAGGATTTAGGTTGGAACATCATACAGTTTTACCCAATAAATGCTGCAAAGCCTTTGTGTACCCACTATATTAAATGAAGTGAAATAACCGCGCTGTTTTACGTAGGCCGTATATGTACAACACGTAATGGGCAAAATTATACGTTAAATAACAGTGCAAGCGCATGTTTACGTACAAAATAATAATATGATTTTCACATATATTATACATACAGCACACGCATATCACCAATCAAAATATTAGGTTGGCTGCGAAAAATTTTAGTTTAATGTTTTATAGAAACTGCTATTTTATGTTCATCAAATATTTTTTAATTAATTTTGTGCATTTTTAGAGTATATTTTTAAAACTTGATTTGGTTTAATCTTTTTATAGATATTCCTGACGGGAATACTTGCGAACGATAACAGCACTCTCGATGGCAGTTTAGAAGTCACCGATTCAGTCAATTACGAAGCGGATCAATTAAATCAGGTGAGGCTATATTTGAATATAAAAAAATTAAAGAAACAGCTAATTGTCAGTGTGTCATTACGAATGGTCAACAGTTGTTTGTGCTACTTTTTAAGGTTCAAGTCATTCGTGGCTAGTAGAAGTGTATTTTTGCGACTATTTGAGTTGATACGAATAGCTAACGAAGTTGTCTAAAAATGACAACTCTTGGTGGACTAACAATGCCAACAATGTGCTCATATTTATGTTTATTTGTGCACGAGTACACTGTTCAGCGGTGTATAATAGCGTATAACTCCTCGCAACGACTACAGCAACTGTATAGCAAGTAGTTTCTGCATATAGCCTCTGAATGCTGAGGAGATGTACACTTGAGTCGCGAGCGCCGAGCTCACAAGCTGCGCGGTCCAGTGACCATGACTCACGAGTCTTCTCGCTAAAGGTGCTGCCGTAGAGGGAGAGTACGACCCGTACCACCTATAGCGTGTATGCGCAGATATTCACTTGAATTCACGAAATATCGTCAAGCAGTCGGTTGAACATAAATTTCTCGCTCACTTTATTTTCATTTTTCTCCCCTTTTCTTTTTTCCGGAATAAAAAATCTGAAAAATGCCTTGGCAAATCTTATTCTTTAGTCCCGTTTACACGCTTAATTCCTTTCACGAGTGTATTACGTATATCATGTGTGTCTTTCCTCTCTAGTTTGCAAATCGGTCGCACACATTTTCATTGTTGGTTTTTCGCTTTTCAAGCCTCCTAACAGCTTCAACCGACTTATTTCTCCGTTCCAGAGAAGTGTATTTTAAGTCTTTCGTGTTTAGAAATATTTTCTGCACGCACCCAATCTTTCTTCGGTATTTGGAATTTTTAAACGAATTTTTAAGCGATAAAAAAGATGGATTCAACGACCAATTTCATTTGTCCTGATTTCGAATGTTAAATTTTTCATCAATTTGCTTACCATTTGATGTTTCTGTCATTTTCTCGAGCGAGTTTACTCTCACTTGAGGCTTTTTATCTTCATGCTCATCATATACCCTATTGACTTTGCAAACTCTTATGCCAGTAGGTTTTAGTGTCAAGGTATTATTCTCTTTTCGCTCAATGGCAGATTTTTTGACAAGCGCTAGTTTTCGAGAGACAAAAAAACTAGACGAAGCTATTCACATGGGATTGCTAGCAATGTTATTTTCACACATGAGTTTGCGAAAATAATATTTAAAATTCACAGGTGGGTGGTTTTTAATTTTTGTTTCTTGCGTTCTACGTGCATAACAAGCCCTTGTCATCGCTTTCGCTTAAATATGTACACCCTTAAAAATTTGTGTATAGGTAGTGCTGTAAGAAATTTTTCTTCAAGTTTAGGGTAAGGTTTAAATGCAAGGTCGCAGCTTGCAGTAGCAATGTCGTTGAAGAGTGGATACTTTAGAAAGCAACGGTGGCAACGACGATGACGACAAGTCTGGTAAATGTAGCGTCATCCTTGAGCACGATTTTATGCACGCGACGCACAGCTCAACTTGATTCTAAGGCCACAAAGTTTACTTTGTACGCTACTAATGAGAGTCGCACAGGTCGACGAAAAAATGTTTTCATTTAAATGTTACGGTTATACATGTTTTTTTGATTTTATAAAACTCTGTAGAAAAGCGTTAGAATGAATTTTGAAAATTTTCACCGTATTGAGTAAACATAGGCGAAAGAAATTGTAAGTTCAGTTTGACTCATTTTTTTTTACTATATGAGCTAAGGGGAAGTCGTACAAGATTTGAAATAGCGCAAGGAGTTTATCGTCGAATAGATGGGAAATGTGCGTGAAGCGCGGCACGTTTGGAATTTTTGTTGTGCACGAGGAAACGATCGGTAGTTAAAATGCGTCTCATTTTTAGCGTGCGCAGCAAAAAGCTTCGTCGTATATAAACAAGTGCATACACGTGCTGCTACGAATGTATTGGGTAGTATACGATACTGTATACAGGTATATAAAGAACCCGCAGCGTGCGATTTATCGCTGCCATCTTTGTTTGAATCTTGGCACATATCCATGAATATTTTTTTTGGAAAAATAAAAAAAGCTAAAAATATTTTTCAAGTGATTAAATGTACATGGTTTTACCTAAGTCAAAGGTGTCTTCATTGCTCGAATTTTATATCTTTACTTAAATTTGAAAGCCACTGTATTTTTTTATTTAAAAAAGCGAAAACTTACATAACATAAAACATTTCAGAATGTGATTTTTTGTAAGTAGCATCAACAAATTTTAATATTTATTATAGGGTTTAGATGCTTGCACTCCAAATTCAAAAAATGAAATTTAGTACAAACTTTATTTTAACTCTCAATTTACTGATTTACAAAAGCCTTAAATTGAATCGTTCGTGGAAACAGTTCGATACGTATCTGTATCCCAAAATCTCCGCTCGTACAAGCGTTATAGACTTACATTCAAGTTTCGTGCAAATCACTAGAGGCTCGACTTTATTTGCATTTATGGATTTATGTAGACATGCTTACTTTGAAGATCTTACGCGTTACTGAAAGTATTTCCCAAATGTAAAGAAAAATTTTTCTCAGTACAGATGAGAAGCAAAAACTTATTTCGAAGTATATGCTACACGTGTAACACGTAGTTGCAAAAGCTTATTACACGTACACCGCTGCCGAATCAGACACACTCTTAGACAAGGTTTTAAATTTTGTTACTTTTCTACTTGTAAGATAATGTTGGGTATTTTGCAATTTAATGCATGCATGAAGTAATCGGATCATTTAATAGACAGAGCAACTGAAGTAATGTTAAAACGCTCGACAGCATTACTAGTAAGGCATTGAATCGAGATGATGAGAAAATGTTCATTCGCTCCATTTATTTCTCAATAATGACAGACTATTTATAGACTTGTACTACTTAAAAAGCACAACCAATTGCATGGTTATTGAGGATTACTCTTCGACCTGATATTAGTTCAACAATTGTAATGCTATTTTTCAACGTAGTAATAAGGTTTAAAGCAAAAAAATATTTTCTTAAAGCAATTTAAGAATATTTGCATTGGCTTGTATGTATGAAAAACTGCATGCGTTTACAGACCTTTCGCTGTGAAGATCAAACTCGTAGTCTTGAAACCTACCTTCGCAGCATCTTTTAAGATCTTTCATTTTGATACTTGTGCAGATATTGCAAGATTATTGGTACTTGTACGGATACAGTAATAAAGGGACCATCTGCCAAAGCAAAACATACGTATTAGACACTTTTACTTATTTATAAATATTAAAGTTAAGGCAACGTTTTCTTCAAACTGGTGTTCCAGTAACATTATAACGTCGCCCCAGGTCGCTTCCAATTCTGCAGCATGAAGGATACTTACTCGCGCGCAGAGGCAAAAAGGTAGCTAATTCGAGCGTGGCACCAAAACAGTACCTTGTTCAAACGCAGTGGCAAGAAAGTTTTGACTCGCTGACTTTAGATTTGCAACCCAGCCGTAAATTATAAAATTTGGTTCTGTATTTGAGCAAAAAGAAAAAAAACAATCGAGCTAGTGTAAAGATTTTCATCTATTTGTAATGCGAGCAAACAAATACATCTCACCGTGACATCGACTCAATTTGCCACATAAAGAGAACTTTGTAAGTTCTGAGAAGAAACTAGAAGTGATCGTCTTTCTTGCTCTTGCGTTTGAACAAGGTACTGTTTTGGTGCCGCGCTCGAATTAGCACCTTTTTGCCTCTGCGCGCGAGTAAGTATCCTTCATGCTGCAGAATTGGAAGCGATACCTTCGTGCGCTGGGGCGACGATAAGTGAAATTTTAAAATTCTCGTGAGGTGTAAAAAAGTGCTGACTAAACATAAACTTGTGGTACATAACAAGTTACATGTTTAGTCCTTGATTCAATTTTATTATTCTTCTCAAAAAGTTGAATTATTGGATCAAATAATCGAAATTTTCGTCGGGCTAAAACTAAAACTATATTGAACCGATAAAAGTTGAGTTGAAAACATAAAAGACGAATCGGCTAAGGTGGTGAGGCGGCACGCTAATCGTCACGCAAACGCGAGCAAAGCATTCTCCAGAAATCGTGCTGACGAACTCAAGCGACTGGTGACAAAATGTTCATAAGCTCGCGCGAGCGATATATGTCTCTCTACCTCCAGCCTCTTATAATTCTGCACTCTTGATGACGAAATATTGTACGACACACCTCGGCGTCTTTAGTCGTAGTTGCTTTGTTCCTTTCGAGCCTCGTGCACCAAGACTGTCTTACTGTGCGAACTAAAGAAGATGAACGCGGTGTCTGCATACACACATATTGATATCGCTCAGATACGTGTCTACGTATACGCTATATGTATATAACAAATATACAAGTACACGCGAGGAAAGCAGGAAGAAGACCGACGACGCTACAGTACCTATACAGCCCGGCGAAAACGAATGGGTGGGTGAGAAGAGGTGCACACATTAATTATTCATGAGCTCTCGATGCTCCGAGTATAGAGTGAGATAGAGAAGATAGAGAGAGAGAGAGAGAGAGAGAGAGAGAGAGAGAGAGAGAGAGAGAGAGAGAGAGAAGCGAGACGAGAGTACAGAGCCTGCACTAAACCTCAAGCGTTATTACATCGCATCGCGTAATACATGCAATATACGAAAATCCTCTCGAGCAAATTGCTCGAAAATTTGTTGTCTACATTTCATAATATTCAAAAACACATACGACCTACAACTTATTTGTTCACGTTCATTTCTACACTTAAACTCGTCTGCTGCACGATCACATCTGCTACATAATTCATTCTGTACATATTCTGGTTATTGCTAATAGGTACTTGGGATGAAACATTTACCTTTTGTTTTGATACTTATGTATGTTTGAAAGATACGCAGTTTAAAAGATACATATTGTTATGAAGTTATAAAATTGAAGCTGAACTTTTACGCTTGAAAATAAAAGGAAAATATTTCAGACCGCAGATACCAACAATAAAAGACTATTATTGGAAAGATTTTTTTTATAGCAAGTAAGAATGTTATCCATTGTGATCATTGCAGATTTTTTACACTTTCAATTTGAAAATACACGTGTTCGGAAAGATACTCTTGAAAATAACTTGTTCAATAATGGTTTTCCAATTTCAGGCAACTCACGTTTTTAATTGGATAACTTTCAGATCGCAGATCTCTTACCATCTTACCGAACTTTCAATTGCCGGTTTAATATGAAACGGTGGAGATTTCAATAACAGCTCGTTGATACTTAAGCATCTTTCAAGAATATGAATTTATTATTTTTTTCTTTATTATCTTTTATTTGCGATAAATTTTACAAAAAAATTTTTTCATTTCATGTTAAATTTTAAACGAAAGCTTAGAATTTAAAAGTTTATAAGGGTTACCTATCGATTAATCATGCAATAGACGAGTGAACTCCAGTTCAGAGATATTTTTAATGACATTTTGACGATTTATCGTGTATCATGCACACTTTCGAAAGAGCTTGAAAGCCAGGGATAGAAAGATCTCCTTACATTCGGTAGAAGAGGATTTGCCGAAAGTAGTCCAAAGCTTCGTCGATGCTCTTGATGCTTCCATTAGCAAATATACTGTTGCTCACTCAATAATTTGGAAGTCTGCTGTTTGCCTCGTGAAAATCGAACCTCAGACCACTCATACAAAAGAGATCGAGGTAGGGAACGAGATAGAGAAAAGCGATGTACCGCTGGTTTGACACCTGCTCACGTATACGATAAAATCTTGGCTGCAGCACTGTAAGCTCGTCAATCCGAGCCGCCAAAGAACCCCAGCAGTTACCGATATGGTGAAAATGACGAAAAGCAAGTTGAAAAGAAGAGAAAAAGGGTGAGAGAAGGTTGAGAAATTTTGAAACGAACGTCGACGTGCCTTTTAGAGCATTGAATAATGCAGAATCGCGTCATTCGCTACTTAGGAATTTGATCGCTCGCTGGATGATGAAAAACACCCATAGAAAGATCTTAAATCGATGATAGGGTGAAAAAGGAAGCAAGAAGAGAAGTGATTCAGTGGAACAGAGCATTAACAAAAAATTTCAATGCATTGGCGTGAAACTTGCCGCAGCTTTATTTGCATTGGAGAATTCAAACTTTCAACTTGCTTCATCAATATAGAAAGCTACCCCATAATACATAATGTGTAGGGAGAACAAAGTAGAGAAAAAACGAGAAAAAGGAAGTTATAAGGAAATTATAAGCTTTCAAAAAACTCCAAAATATGTTATCGACGTTATAAAATTCACTTGTATTTAGTGATTTTACGAAGACCATCAATAAATTTTGTGTACAAAAATTCATCAGAAAATGCTTAGTTCAAAAACGACGAAAAACCAAAATTTCGAGGTATTTTAATTTACTTTTTGGCACAATGGACCCAAAGTGTACGTGCTGACGAGGATCTCTCTTTCATTTATTTATTATTTTATCATTATCTATTGACGTTTGATGTGACGATTACAAAGTGTCGAAGCTTCACGCGATTGAAGGATTGTTTTAGCAAACGGAGATAGAATTGACCTCTTGAAACTTTCTTAAAAAATGTGAAGGAGAAATGCATTCGTGCGAGGAGAGCAGAAAGAAAAGGCAAGGCGTAGAGATAAGAAAACCTCAGGAAAATAGCGTTAGAGTCGGAAGACTTGCCAGACCAAGTTTGAATAATGCAGACTTACAGAGGGCCGCGTTTAAATCCGATCGTTGGGTACACCTCGAAATGCTCTTTCCTTCATGCTCTTCTTCACCCTCTGCCTCTCTCTCTCTCTCTCTCTCGCTTTCGCTATCCGAAAAACTCTGATGCAGCGTTCGACTCTTCTTCTCTGTTCACTCCCTCCCTTTCTTTCGAAACGAGGCTTCGCTGAACTAAGATTGATTTTAGATTGGCTAGAAATTGAAATCCTCCGATTTCACTCCTTCTCGCTTGCTCACCTTGTCTTCTAGTATGTGTTTTCAGAATGGATGTACGCGTTTTGTACTTCTTGTAAACTTTCAATACCACCACAATTCAGGTTAATGTAATTTTGAAATATCGGCTACTATTCTTTTTATATGATGCTGGTAATAAAGCTACTTATTATTTTTCTTTTAATCGTTACTGAGGAAGCACGGATTAAACGTATAAACTGGCACGATCATTGATCTTAAAAAGTGTTTTTTTTACCTCATATGATTTGTCAATATTAAGCTAAAAATGGATGTTATTCTTTTATAATGCTCAGAAAACTTCAGTGCGTTCATTAAACCGAATCTGAGCGTAAAACTGAAAGTTGGAAGAATAATGCATCAAGAATTAGTTCATATACATACTTAATAATATTGGGACGTATTCGCCGAGGTATTCTTGACGCTGATCGTTGGCCTACATCCCAATACATGACATACACACATCTGAATAGACTGGCTGTAACCTTCTGCAAATGTTTACGCACTTTGATTGTCGCACAAGCAAACATATAGGTTCGCAATCATGCTCGAGCTACCCTATAATTGCGCAAACGGCCTCGTTGTGTATGACACTATAAACTCTATAAACTCTTGATCATCATTTTTTAACCAATTACGAGTATAAATATCGCACCGGTACAGTGTATTAAATTCTAAAAATTAACGATTCATTGCTGTTATTGATCAGCGATCATCGTGAATTTAATTTCAAGTTTCTAACCATGTTATGACGAGAATGCTATGCCAGGGTGATATTTCTGACGATTTCTACTTAAAAAGATTATCTTCAAATTACTGTAAGGAGCACCTTCCTCCTGGTTTTTTTTATCTTCTTCAATCCACACGTTTAAACGTGCGAATTATAGAATAATAAAGCGTTTTCGTCAATTTCGTCGTGATCGAGTATATTCGTGTAATCTAATTTTACAGCCGAGAACTTACGAATAAAGCTAATTTTAGATTTTGCTCTGAAAATTAATAACTTCGAACATTCAAGATGACAAAGATAAATAAAAATAATAAAATTATACTTCTTCTGCAATAAATGTTGAATTTTCAATTTGTTACTTCACGTGTAATCTCAAAAATTCTATTTCAGTAAAATCTAGCTTTCATTAAAAAATACTTGATCATGTTTCAGGGTACTGCTTTTGGAGAATGGTCGCCTTGCTCACGGTAAGATATCATAATTTTATTTCATCAATATTACAATATTCAATTATATCATCATTTCCCACTTAAACTATATTACTCTATTTAATATTTAACCGTTATATTTAAAAATCGTTGATCTTGGTTAACGTATAAAAATGACGTACGCTTGATCTTTTGCTATCTTAAAAGAATACTTTATATAACACTTACTGGAATTAGTTTTTAATATATTTCGCTATGACTTTCGTAATGCAAATGAGTACTTTCGGCGTAAGTGTAAAAGGGAACGCGATGAGAATATTTTCTTTAGCTCTACAATGTGGTACCATAATTTTAATTAATCTTTTGAAGCCATAAACTAGATTAGATCCAGTTCTTTCTACGTGAAATGCCGCCAGGGAGTTGTAAAATTGTCATTATTATTCATCGGCTTAAAAATCCACTTAGTTTCGCTGTGAGATGGATACTTACAACGTATCGTCTTGCACGTAATTCTTCAGCAGCACTTGAGATCTTTGGTATATCTCGCGAGCAAAGAGAACAGTTTTGTGTGAACGGCGTGTTAAAAGTTCGAAAAAAATTTGAAGATCAAATAATGAGCGTTTTCGCATATTTGCTAAAGCTGAAACGCCAGTTGATAACCACCTGGCGATCAGTCAAAATTTCCAAAGTTTTTGCTACAAACCACGTCAATTTTTTTCAATAAAACCGCGTTTTCGGACATTTTTCTCTTCCGATCCCTGGGCAATACTTTTGCTCCGCTCGCACAAGCTGCTTCTCACTTCTTACAGAGCAATGATAGTTTGTCCGGATGACAAGTTTCGAGCCGATTACAAGGTGGTCTTGCTTCCGGCACAATGTGTTCAATGTGTGCCTAGCGCTGCGTTGAGCTAATTTATGAGCTTTATAAGTTTGGACACGGAAACGCCTATTTTACGATCTTGCTCTTAAGCTTCGTACATATCCATCGATCTCGTCGGCTATATAGTCGCTGCTACTTGAACTCGCTGCTCCTGCGCTGCTCTGTGTGCGTGTATTTTTGGCCAGCATATATACATAGTGCGTTCATTTTTTTATTTTCTCTTTTTTACGACTTTTTTTGATCCACGAGGATCATATATATTCCTCCTGAAGTGCAAAAAAGTCCTGCGCTTGGTTGTGCATTCGCATACCTTTTGCTCGAGTCACCACAAATCCTTTGACTTTTCTGCCTCATTTTCTCTCACGAGAATATTATTATTCGGTAGCTTTGGCGGTGCTGTAATTTTATTATTCACTCATTTTATAATTATCATTATACATTTCGGTAATTGTTATTTCTTTTGGTTACAGAACATGCGGAGGGGGAATATCGAGACAACAAAAGCGATGTCGTCGTAAACCTTGCAAAGGCAGAACTTGGAATTACAAGTATAAAATTTGCAACTTACAGGTTGGTATAAGTTATATTTACTCGCCCAACTACTTATGTTTGATTAAATAAGATGCATCTTGGACTTAAAATTATATGTATTCATAGAAGCGTGGTAACAATCATTAGTAATGGTAGCATCTTTCTATGCCTTACCTCTCCTTATACCGTAAGTGTTAAGGAACGAGAGAAACACACGTCGCAATGTACCATGCAGTATTCTCTTTCTCTCCTACAGGTACAGTATATAACTAAAGCAAACTTCTCGTGGCTTATAACAGCCCTGTAAATTGCAAGTCTACGTGTAACTTGCCGTGTATACTCGCGTGATGTTGTTGCTCGGGCTGCGGATTATTACAGACATGGATTCTTAACTCCAACTCGCGCGGCGCAGTGCAGCAATGTACGCGTGGCTGCGCTAAGTGTGCGCGTATAGCTCGCGCGCCAGACTCGATTACGACTTTCACGAAGTAACGTTTTGTTCCATGTTTCAATATGAGAACTCGTCAAGAAAAATGGAAACCCTACCCAAACTTTTTCGTTTTCCTGTATCAATGACTCAACGGATTTTGGCCGCATACATACGTGTCAGTGACAGAGAACGTTGCATTCTTCGTGAATTTATACGATACCGAAAACCGAGCCTTTATCGTTTCGATTATTATTTTTTGCACATTTATTTCTACTACGTACAAGTACTTGGACACTTTTATTATGGTGTAAGTCAAAAGAATTGCTTTGTCTGACACAACCGTAGTAGACTGACCGACATTTTTAGATCGAGAATCAAACGTGCACGAATACATTTGCATAAAGAGATGCTTCATGCAAATATTTCAGAATCAAAATATGTCCTGTACTTTCATGAATTGCCAACTTTCGACAGTTTTTGCGCGCTCGAGTGCTTTTCTCTTTTCTTATTCATCACTGCATGCTGCTGCAGAGAATTACATTAAACTAGAATTTTCATATGATACAATCACAGAATTCAAAGCTTGATCATTCATGCACTTGAAAGGTTCTAGATGTAAGTTGCATAAATAATATGTTTTCGTTAATGTTTGAGAAATACAAATGATTACGAAATTTTTACAGACATTAATCAAAATCTTACTGTAACGTTGAGTCGGAAAATGATTAAATTTATTTTTGTTAAATAAATGACTTTGATGAACCAAAATTTGTAGTTTATATATTCTACTTGAAAAAAGTTGATAAAATAGCGTGAAATCCGCTTGAAGTATTTCTCGACATTATTTATGTTTCCAGCACCATGTTTGTAAATCCGTGTTTCAATTAATACCCCTAAATGAAGCTCAATGGTGCAGGAACGTACAATACAGTCAACATATGATAATTGCGGAACTGGGTATAATTGGGTTATCTATTTTATCCGGCGGCTCATTGTATTTTGAAGTGGAGAAGCAGGCAAAATGGGATAATATACACAGGCATTTTGACCTCGTTTTGAAATCTGCCTATCGGATTCACTTATGATCATACTTTATTAATGTAAACATTATTGCCTTGTGACTCTAGATTACGCGTGAATGATTTTATATTACAACACTAAAGATACATTTGAATATCAAGCTCATAATTTTCAAATACGGTATTGGCTACTTTTATCGCACTTGTTCACTTTATAAAAACTTGGTACTTTTAAGTATTTCTCAAAGATTTATTAGTTGTTTAGAAATCTCATTTGTAATTTAACAACAAATTAGCGTGTCAACACTTGAACATTTAAAATGGAACGTGTCAACTATTAACGAAAAATTCGAGGCAAATTGAAAGTACAGTTTAATAGTCGAGGTGAAAATTAAAGGCTTTCACAGAAATTTCTCGTAAAAAGCGAACCTTGACACAGGGAGCTTTGAAAAATAAAGTGACAAAAGAAGGTCGGGCTGGGGGTGTCGCCGGCAAACGTAAAGTTCTTACAGCTGCTGTTGCACAGGTATTGCCTCGTTTTCATTCCTCGTAAGCTCGTGAGAACGAGCGCGTTACGTGTGATTACTGTGCATTCCTGTGAATGACGCATTTTACCGAATACCTGCCTACAGCTGCGAATTCATCGCATTTAGAGGGGGATAGACGCACCGAAGCTTTTTTACGACTCGTCATTTTTGATCAACCTCTCTGATTGGACCTGCTCGTGATTGATGGCATTTTATAGAGAGGTGAAAAGCAACCTTTGCCATTCGCACGGAGCGTGCAATCTCATTTATGCAGTCGAACCATCGTGCACGTGCACGCCACACACCCTGACAACGCGTTAAGCTGGTAATTCTAACGTTGTGCCTTAACTTGAATTTAGCTTTGCTTCTATTTAAATTTTTCGTCTTTTCTCTACCTACGCTTTATAAACATATTTGAACCTTTTTTTGCAATTTACTAATTCGCTCGGTTGGCTCACCTAAAATAAGAACGGGATGCACGTGAAGCAAAATTTACAGATATCAAACGCGGTGATATGTTCAAGCTAGAATGAAAAAGGGGACGAGGGTGAACGCGAGGTTGAACGAACAACAGTAGCAGAAGCTGTGCGTGCAGGGATTTGCTGAGGCTCCGGCAGTTATATCACAGTAGCAGTCAACGAAAGCTCAATGATGGTCTAAGCCAACATTGGATGCCATACGCGTGAGCACGCGGAGAAAAACAGGTCACAATTGTACGTTCCAACAATGGCTACATGTTTTCTTATACACACATGCACATACACTGACAGAAGCTACCCAACACTTGTTCAACTACTAAGCTCCTCGGTGGACCTATTCATTTGTGATAGTTAATGGCATGCGCCTTGAGAACGATCCAATGCAGCAAACACAGTATAGTCTTTCTCTTTTTCTACCCTTCGAAAGTGAATGAAATAATTACTTTTCATATTCTTATTATATATGAAGAGATATCTTATTTATATAAGTAAAAGATGAACATTTTTTGTTTTAATTATAGTTAAATTCAGGTGTAGAAAGAAACTTCGAGTATTTAATTTTTTTGCAAGCTCAAAAATAATTTTCACGCCAATATAAAACAAAGAATTTTTCCAAGTCCAGTATTTTGCTTGATTAAAAAGCGTCCGATTTCTCGGTGAAGTGACAACAAAGACTTTCAGATATCGCGCGGAAAGTACAAGCGAAAAGAGAGGTAAAAAAACAATAGCTCATAATGCTCTGAAGTTTATATTTTTTAAGATTCAAACAAAGATTTTTTTTTGTCAGACACGTTTGCTGCAGTTTCAACATTACGCCAAGATAAAATTGTTTTGAAAAAGAAAAATTTCTCTCATTCATCAGAACTTGACTCGACAAAGCTAGTTACTAAACCCAAGAAAAGGAAACGAACGCTTTATTTTTATGAAACAAATTTAAACAAATCGCTTGCGCACGTGTTTCATTACAAGTATGGCATTGTAAAACGTTGTATAAAGTGGAATATGGGTCAAACACTCCGAGATATTTTAAGGCATTAACATCGAGTATGTACCATAGATCTCGTCAATTACTATATAAACGAAAGAAGAAAAATACCTTGATCTAAAGGTAAAGCAAATAAGCTTCGGCGTCGAGAAAATAATGATTTTCATCAAAGCTACGTAACAATTTAAAAAAATTCATCTACGTAAGATGGATAAAAAAAGAGAAAGCAAAAATCGCATGGCTTAGGAGCTAGCTGTCACGCTCGGGCACTATGATACGGTGCGCCTGCATCCAGTTCGTTTCACCAGTCTTGTGTAAAAGATCCTGCTGAGCTGGACTGGAAGGAGAGCAAGATCAGAGAAGTAGAAAAGCTGCTTCTGAAGAGCCAGATGAAACGGGAACAGAGACTATGGTCTGGCTAGTATTTACATTAGTGACACGCTGCAGACGCGTGAACAAGCTATTTTAGCTCTCAAACCGTTTCTTAGACCAATTACAGTTGCGAAAAAAATTAGGCTCAGTGTGTCTTTATAATTTATATTAACAAAAGACTATAAGTTCGTTTCTTCATATACTTAGTTCTGGGAAAGCTGGAAAATATCTTTTAATTCTGTTATCATAATAACTGACACATGTATAATTATTTTTTTCGACTCATTTTTTCTGTACTTTATACTTCAACGGCTCCAATTCAATTGAATGTTAAGAATAAATTACGATTTCTGTTCTTAAAAAAAGAATCTAAACTCACAATTTTGATGAAAATCGCATCTGAATTCGCCCAACGAGCTTCTAGTTGACAATTACATTTTAACTTATAGTTAAGACTTATAAACAATAGACTTGCTCCGCAAGCATACATATAGGTGGCACAACTAATTATTTGCAACTGCTGCCACTGCTTTCAAAATGTACAGTCCAAAGTTTGAATGTGGCTACGTTGTTGAATGAGCGCTATTCATGCTCCTGTTTTGGGAAAATATTCGGAGAATTTCCAATTAAGGCAACTGAGAATAGACTAACCCAAATTTTGCATGAAATCTTCAAGCCAGAAATATTTTTATAAGTCTCTATTTGATTACTTCAGGTGTCTAATTAAAATTACTAGATAAATTAAAAATCCTTATAATCGATATTATATGAAATCATGAAAATTGTAACTAACAGAGGTTTGAAATATTAGGAATAAACGAAAAGAAAATTTCAAGTATTTCGTTTGAAATAATTATAAAAACTGAATCAATGACAATTATTCAAATTAATTTTCTTTATTTGTATTCCAGCCGTGTAGCACGCCAACGGACCCAAGAGCCGAGCAGTGCGCAACTTATGACAACAGGCCCTACAGCGAGCAATTATTCAAATGGTATCCTTATTACGATCCCTCAAGGCCTTGCGCATTAATCTGTCGTGGGGAACGTCAGAATAATATTTCTCCTCTTTCGTCAGCGAGTAAGGCTGACGAAAGAGTTCTGGTGAACGGTGAACTTGGCAGCGCTGAAGAGTATACCGAGTCCACCGAATCGATCGTGGCCCAACTGGCTGACAAAGTTCAAGATGGTACCAAGTGCTATCCTGGCAGCCATGATGTTTGCATCAACGGCGAGTGCCAGGTAAGGCTTTTTATTCAAACCAATACGAAAACATAATAATTACCTACATCAATTAAAAAACATGAAAGAACGTAATTTTACTTTGAATACGTTCTCAATATGTTGTATGAATTTCAATAATGTCCATTCATTTAAATATTTTGTTAATGATTATTGTTTATTTAGCGAGTTGGCTGTGATCTCAAAGTTGGAAGCAATAAAAATAAGGACGCTTGCGGAATTTGCGGTGGCGACGGTTCGACTTGCGACAGTAAATATGCTTGGACTTTAGAATCGACATCAGCGTGTTCTGAATCATGCGGAGGAGGTATGTAAACAACATATGTGATTGGTTTACTTAAAAATCTTTTTTTCACCATGTGCATTAAATTATCAACAGGTTTCAAAATTGTAACGCCCATGTGCAAATCAACTGGACCAGACAGCAAAATCGTCGATAATTCAATGTGTGAAACCGAATCAAAGCCCGACAAGCTTCTGTTGCCGTGCAATACTCTTCCGTGTTCAACAAAGTGAGTAGTCTCAAAACATTTGACTTTGACTTCGTACCAAACGCTACTCAATGAAGCGGTCGGAAATGTTCTCATTGTGATAATTTAATTTTCAACGAGTCGTGAAACGAGTTGTGTATCGCGCTCATAAATACGAGAATCGAAGCAATCAGCTGAATCATTGAAAAGGGTGTAAAGCTTTCGTGAAACTGAGCATAGCAGCCAAAAGTTCATGAAAGTAAGCCTGGACGAGCACTCGAATAAAAAAGGGAGGAACAGAGAAAGAGAAAGAGAGAAAGAGAGATAGAGGGGTAGAAAGGGAAAGACCGGGAGATGGATAGAATGTACAACTGAGTACTGCGCGCAAGCTTTCAACGTTGGAGTCTAAGCGAGCCATTAAATAGGCTAAAAGAGTGGTTGAGCGCTCAACGAAATAGCACGGTTAAATGTATTTTTTTGAAAACTGTAAAAAAAAGAAAAAAGAAATCAGCTAAAAACAAGAAACATTATACACTGTTCGCGCTTACTCGTCATGTGCTTCAACTATATCTACCCAACGCTGCTACTCAACGAGAGCTTCTTTTTTTTTTAATGAAGAAAAAAATTGTATAATTCTATCTCTAAGAAACATTTGACGTTTCACTGCTTAGTCAAATAACGATTGATAAAGGTTGCGAATGGAAAATGTTAATCCTCGAAGCAAGCGAAAGAAGAAGAGGAAAAGAAGGAGAATTAATAACGTTTTTAAGAGTCGGCACAATGGAAGCTTCAAAAGAAAATTCGACAAAGCCCTCGGATTCGAGATAAGGTGGTCGGGGTGGCTGAAAATATGTCTAATTGAAAGTAAGTCTATAAAGACTCGGCAGCTATAATAACAGATGGCTCGAGGCGGCCAAAGGCTACGTTGTCGGTACGCTAGTAAAGAGAAGCGGAAGGAATCGATGAGCCAATTAAAATTTAAACGTATGCGGTAGCATCTCTCGTTTGCTGCTCGGAAGCGTCACTGCGTATACGGAGCGGCCCCACCACGCAGCTATCTCGTCCTCTCGTCCGCTCTCCACCTCCCTCTCCCTTCGTGTTCGCTCGATATCAATTACAAAAGCCATCCTTTGGCTGAGTTCGCCACCTATAAGCAGAGTTTTCGCATGTAGGTCGGCGTCATATAAAGCGGCGCGCACTCATCGCGCAATAAGTTAAATTAGCTCCTTCCAGTCGGTCACGCGCATTACGCGTACGCGCATTAGTCCGCGTGACGAGCTCGCACGGATGACCAGCGCTATATATACGCAGGTAATAATCTTGCGTCGTACGACACGCAGCTTCGCGTCGCTAATAAATCAATTGGCCAGGCGCGGCGGCTCTCGTTAAATCGTCTTTAATTGCTTTAGCGCAGCGCGCACTCGTTAATTCGACTCTCGCCAATTAAATCTCCTTCGTTTTTTCAAACTGGATTCAGTGAGTAGCCAACGACGAGCAGTCAAAGGCATGGACGTGGATCGTTTGCTCTATACTATACATTCTATATACATATGTACACGCGTAAACGTGACGAGTCGCACGCGCGCTAACTGTGCAGAGGCGTGCCAGACTGCTCGCTGAGCCTAACTACTTGTGACTCGAGAGTTTACGTGAAAACGAACGCGCTTGCCGAGTCTGCACGTATCAACAGATAAGACTGAATCGTGCTTACGGAGGCCGAGGGAATGTCTAGATTGTTTTGGCTGATTAGACTTAATTATTATTAAGCTTCTCGATACGCGTCTGCTTATAGGAAAAGCCAGTAATGCTGCAGCGCCGAAAAGTCTACGACCAAACTATACAGCTAATTAGTATCGCATACCTATACTTGAAGCGAATTGCTATGATAATAACCATTAATACGATACGATAAGCTCGATGAATTTTAAGTGCCATCACATATAAATCTTGACTAGATCACTAATTTAACACTAATCATAAGATTTGAAAGTTGCAGTAATATTTTCAAAACGACTAACTTCGCAGTGCGACTTTTGACATCTCGAATTTAACATATAGAGATACTAAGCAGGGATAGATGTCAATTCGTATGAAATGTAATCGAACGACCTAAACGTGTCAATATACAAGCAGGATAGGTCACGCAATCAACCGAGCAATGCGATTGCGACTTCTCGAAGACGCAACTGCTATAACTTCACCAGTAAAGTTGAATATATTAAAGTACTTTTATAAAGCCACGCATACATTCGACTATATTCGACTGCAGAGCGCGTACTGCAGTGTGTCTCGTTTCTCTGTGAAAGAGTAAAAAAGAGCCCCCTTTGCTACGAGTTTCCTTTTATTTTTTTCGTTGCCAAGCAAGCAAGTGACATCTTTTGAAGCTGCTGCACGTACGCGTGGACATTATCTGCTCTTCTGTAGCTCTCCCTTGTGCATGTGCGCGCAAGGGACAATAACGCAAGTATTCTCGTTTTAAAGTATGCGTGCAGCAAGAGCGTGTGACTTGAAAATAACACGTGCCCTCGCCTCTCCCCCACCTCCCTCCCCGCTCGCGTACGCTCCCTTGCATATGTCCGAAGACACTGGCAAGACTGAAGAAGAGAAAGAAGACAGTGACGTTGGCGTCGAAAAACGGAAGTGCCTCTAGTAGCCAGACGATGCACTGCAAGCCGTGTAGGTTATATAATATGTGTGCGGCATGCAAGTATCATGCGGCAAGTGCACCATCTCAAGTGACGTGTGTTCTCGTCTTCTCGAATCTCGATAGATGCGTCTCGACTCGACTGGCAAATTTTTTCTTTCTCACGATATACACGCGTGCGTGTAAAGACGCGAAAGCGATTTAATTCTCGACTCCAACGAGTCGCTGCTGCTTTAACTTAACGAGATCTTCGTTGTAGAAATTATTTTGAATGAATAAAACTCGACTCGTGCATGGCAGCGGTTAAAGCTCGTGGTCTGGAAGACAAAAATTATCGAACCAAAAAAACGCAGAAAAGTAAGCTTAAACCTCTTGTTGAATTATATGAAGCTAAAAAAGAGGTAGAGAGCGAGAGAGAAAAAAATATATGTACTCTTACAGCCGCATACACGTACTTACGTGCTGTTGCGATCGAGCTAGATATCTTATTGAAAGCGAACAAGCTGGGGCTCCGATAACTGAATGCAAACGTGATATAAGCCTTCTTTCGGTGCAGAAAAACTCTGCACACGGCGAAATTCAATAGAGACTCGACATAAGTTATGTGTGTGCTCTTTGATTCACCAGACTCATACGCGTTTCTTTGCGTCATTGTTAAGAAAGCTCACAATAGGTTCTAAGCTCGGTTATATGTTTACGGAAACTACATTTAATAATTTAATTTTCTACTCGATTTCGTTTCTTCAGTCATGAACGAAAAACAATTTGATGTTAAAAGAGACTTGACCTACAAAGAGACTGATTTTAATGAACATCTTCATTAAATTCAGACCTACACGATTACAAATATAATATGAGAAAAAATAGCCCACAATCAAGGACAAAAACTATCAACTTAGACATTTTTCAAACTATGTAATTGCAACTTGATTTTAAATAAACATAAAATTAATCTGTTTCAACTTCTCGCCACATCTACTGTAAAATTTGTAATTGAAAGATCAAGTGCCACTGAAATATTAATTAGTCGGAAAATGAAAATTCGCAGTATAAAACGAAATAGATTAAAATTTCATATGGTATAAAAAAATCATGAAGAATTTTTACATTGACATTTTCTTTTTTATATCATGAACTAATTAGTATAAATTGTTGTGTTGTGTATGCATTACCGTTTGAAAACTTTCAACTATTTTATTGTAACAAGTGGGGAGTTGAAAATGTGATAGTCTCTCAGTTAATTAAAAATGTTGAAGGTTATTACTCTTGCTTCAATACCCACAAATTGCTAACCGAGGAGACATTCGTAATATTCTAGCTTGATTACAAATATACTCGTTTTTTATCTAGAGGCATGAACATGGAGTTAAATATTATATATTTATATCATAATGTTGATGAAAACAAATTTGTATCAATGAATATAAATCATTGTTCTATCATTATTATAAAAATGACTAGATAGTAAAAAAGAAACAATTACTAATACATTTCAGAGGCAAGCATAAACAATAAGCAAGCAAATTGATATTATACCAGTGGCAATAATTGTTGCATTTTTGAACACTGAATAAATGTATTGTTGCACGTAGAGCATGGAGAAATTTTAATGCTTTAAAAAAAATAATTCTTAAGTCAATTCATTTTTTATTGCAACATTTACACATAAAAAAACTTTTATTAGTGAATAATTGGCTAAATTATGTAATTAATATTTTTCAATTATTTTAATTATTAAAAATCAGAGTTTAGTATGATAAATAAGACAAATAAACTATAAAATATTTCAATTTAATTGTGCTCAAACTATTACAAAGTATTTTTTCAACGCAGTTCTCTAAGATTTTGAATTTTTATGCACAGGTGGCTGACAGGCGAGTGGAGCAAGTGCAGCGTATCCTGCGGTGGTGGTTCTCGAAGTCGCCCAGTTTTCTGTACCGAAGAAAATGGCAACGCCACGAGCAAGGTGAGTCTTTCTATGAAGAAAAAGACGCAAACCGTTTGTTCGGGATGGTTTCAAAAAAACATCGTTTCGCAGGTGAAGAGGTTTGAATAAATAAGTCAGGTTTCGCGCAAAACCTTTTACGTCTGTACGATTCTTTCGTTCGCGTTAGCTAGTGCTAAAAAAAATGCCGAACGAGAAATGCGCAAAGCTTGCGAACTTGAAAATTCGCAGAGCTAACAAGAGAGTCTCGCGTGCATACGTGCGTTTTAATTAAGGAGTTTTTGCTTGCCCGGTGATGAACAAGAATTCAGCGCGCTGCAGTGAAAGACCCTTAAAGTCGTTAACTGTACAAGTGTGCATTAAGTGACCTCTTCAGATAACTGTATAATGTGTTCGCGCTATACTACGCCCACGTATTTTTCATTTGATAAACTGTAGAGATTTTTTATGCATTTTACATTAAATTGTGATGATTAATTCTACGTGGCTCGATTGCGATTCGTCACGTAGTAAGATGATTTACAGCTTTCTGAATACTTTGAAAAATTGACTTGAAGGAATAACTTTCAATTTTAATTTTTAGATCCCGGAATATAAATGCAACGTAAACCACAAGCCAAAATTCCAGGAAATCTGCAATGCTTTTTCCTGTCCTATGTGGGAAGCCGGTGAATGGAGTGAGGTAAGTGCTCGAATACTCTACATTTTGTATACGCGCTGTAGGCGTGTTTATGTAAACAAATCAGCAAAACATGACCACTCTACAATATCTAGGCATAATAGTTATTTAAATTATTTTATACATTCGTGTAAATATGTACTGAAAATATTAGGTAGTAATTTTCGTGCATTACTATTAAAGAATAGAGCGTGGCTTTATAGACCGAAAATCGTCAACAGTGTTTCAATTACGTTGAGAATCGTCAGTAATGTTTAGAAATAACTGAAGAAAAATTGAAAAAACCACTAACTTAATAACATATAAATTTAGGAAAAGTCAATAAAGCCGTTGAAATAAAACATATCAATAAGGAGTTTAATATTCGAAAAAAGCGTATTTAATCCGCTAATCCTGTGTTCTATGAAATAAAAGAGTTTTAGTTACAAGAATTACGCAAGTCATTTAAGAATAGCACTGAATTTAAATCTCACAATCGAAACTGGGCGCTCAAGCTTCGGTGACTTTGACTGGCAAAGTTTTTCCACAATAAACAGAAACGCGCTGAGGGATCTTTCTGAAAAGGAGAAGTTAGAAGGGAGAGGCAGCAAAGCCAGACGCTGGATTCATAGTGCAAGTTTGGTAAAACTTCTCTCCTATGGGAGAAAAATTCGAATTGCTCTTCATTCCAAGTGAGTAGAGAAGAAGCTTATACACCTGTCCGTTGCATAATTCATGAAGGTGTATCTACATAATTTAACAAAGCTTCACTTTTGTACTTGTATACTTACTAAAATGCTCTTATCGGCTTTCAATTATAATAATTAGATTTTAGTAGCATAGATTAGGAGAATGATGTTATTCGTATCAAAACATTTTGATGAATTCGATTATCTTCGAAAACTTCTCAAAATTGTTGAACTATAGATCTAATAATTACAAAATTTGTTAGAATATCGTCAACCTATGTTTGGTCGTTACCCAAAATGATCTTTATAATGCGTAGTATGAAATACATTAAATTCTGTGTATAAATCACATACGATTTGAAACATTTATTAGGTCTATATAGGTAATTTCTTGAGTAAAGGATAACTCACAAAAATCAACACTTTAAGATTTGTATAAGTCATTTGAAAACTATATTATCATTATTGATCAACTGTATTATTTTCACACAACATCTACAGCAGTTTAAAAAAAGAGAAAAATAATAATCTTCTCCCCTAGCATCTGTAACAATCAAAAAAGGGGTAAAAATCAAATAATGCCCTTCAAGATTTTCCATATTGAGCTCCGTGTTTATGGTGAAAGCTATAGTTTTGAAAGTGAGATATCTACGTATGTTCTGCTTACACATACTTTTATACACTTCGAACAAATACTTTCCATTGGTTTTTTTAGTTCGTCAAATTTTTCTCCTCAATTTTTTTTTGAACTTTTTTGTTTCCATTTTACGTCTTCAAGTTCTCCTCGACTTCGTTACGTCAGTTACATCGCCATTACCTTTCATTTTTTCTTCGTGTTCTTGAAATGCGCTTGAGTATATACAAAGAGAAACTGAGTTTATATAAAGCTTGTGACGAGGTGAATCTTTTTCTTTTGATGGCGTACAACCTCACCTTCTTCGTTACGGATTTTTTTCTTTAGTCTGGTGTGTAGCAGTCGAAAAAAAACACTTTGACTTATCAACGATTTTCGAATGAATTATTTAAAAGTAATGGAGTAAGACTTCCCGACAATTAAAATTTTTTTAATTCATAGAAATTTCCACGTTTTTACCTACAAGAATAAAATTATTACACAACCCCATCGAAAACTAAAAACATGACAGTTTTTTCTTTACATATATTTGTCAGTCTTAACAACTGAGGTTTTTATTCGTAGTGCTCAACGAGTTGCGGCAAAGGTGTAAAAACTCGTAGTGTCGAATGCCGTGATGGCAAGGGTCGTTTATCCAACGAATGCGACAGATCTCAGCAACCACGTGCTGAAATAGAATGTAAAGGAACTAGTTCCGATTGCTCCAGTCGTAAGTTTATGTTTAGCCTGTTTCTGCTGTTTGATTTATTTAGTAATTTAACTGATAATTTTTGATTTTAACACAGTGGATGACCCTCACGCTCAGCCGTTGACGCAACAGTATCCCTCTGTACCGATTCCAGAAAAGCTCATCGATCAGCCTGTACCTTCCCAATCGACGTAAGTACGCGTGAATATATTTTTCTTTTATGATTATATACGTTACTTTACGTTCTTGTTCAAACTCTCACGAAGTGTAATTTAGACAAAAAACGATGCACTGTAGAACTGCCGCGTCTTCGTGTACAGCTAGTTGAAAAATAAAATTCAAATGTTCTGCACTTGAAACCCCGCGCATATATTCCTGAAGTCCTACGCAGCCTTTCATGTTCGTTTGGACTCTCTAGAAGGCTTAGGTGCATATGTATTATATGTGTGGAACTAGAACAGAGTATAGCTACGTGCAGCTAGTTTTAGACCCGAGAAGAAATAAGCCCCATACGATATCGACGATAATACGATATGCGCCAACTTACTCATATGTAATGGACTTCACCGACGTCGCCGGCATATTTGTTTTCGGTCGGTCGCGACTCGACTTTTCTACCCTGCAAGTATAATATTTCACGCGATATTGGGTTGCGCATGTTGGCAGTCTAATCGCGTTACAACAAAATCTAAATAAAAGTTGAAAACAAAGTAGTACCTAAAACTATTTAAATAAATAAAACATTAATAGGCGGTAAGTAATCTGATTTTGGATCATCAATAGTTTGAAAGAGAAATCGTACAATAAAAAAGCTTTCACGCATACTCAAGGTAACGAAAGAATTGACTTAATATTAACGCGCTGGCATACAGCAGTAGTTAAATATCAAGTTTATTGATCAAGACTTATTGATTAGTATCTAGAGGTCGAGTTTCGACAAATTCCAGCACGTGTGTATGAAAAACAGAATGAGGTGTAAAAGCAGATTATAAAGTAATTATTGATTACAAAGCAGCTTAATTTATCAATTTTTTTTCTCTTTCTCTATTACTCCTTCTTCTTAGAAGGACCTGCAGGAGGCTTAGAGCCCGTGCGCAGGAAGAGATTACTAATACCCCCCTCCTTACTGTTTCGCATTTGCCCAGACCCGAGGACCTGTGGGGCAAGAGAAACCTGGGGGTGTACGTTTACTAACGCTTTTCAAAAAATTTCAACTTTCATTAATTTTTCTGAATATGCATATCTATCTATAATACATTATTGCGTTTATTCTAAATTATATTCACAGATTCATTGATCCAAAGGGAACGAGAAAGAGGAAGATGAAAATTATATCAGTTACTCGCACGCATTAGAGTTGAATTTCATGTGTTAAGACATGCTATGCTTTTTCTACCCTCCTGCGAACTTCCTACTTCATATTCCCATTTATCTGGCTACATATATATAGAGCGTACCTACAATTGAATCTTGATATGAAACAATGAACAAAAATCCCTTAAGCAAGTTTATTCAGAAAACTTTTCAATGAAATTACCTACCGTTATTAATCGCATCGTCGCGTTCGAGGTGGAATACTCGCGATGGATCTTTCAAAGAATAGTCCAATTAATGCAGATGTAAAATAAAAATTTAAAAGCAAATTTAAAAACTTTTATAATAAATCAATGGATTTTGTTGATTCTGTACAGTTTCATAGCGGATGAATGGTCACCGTGCAGTGTTCGTTGCGGAGAAGGAGTTCGTCATCGAGAGGTGCATTGCAAGATTTTCCTCGAATTTAGCCGCACAATAGCTGATCTTCCAGATCATCAGTGCTCTGGGCCGAAACCCATCGAGACAGAAAAATGCAATATGGGACCGTGTACGACCGAGGACAATAGTTTGACGTACCGAGTCGACCCAGCCAGTGACAGCAAATACGCAGAGTCAAGTCTCACTGATACCGAGTTTAGATCAGCGTCATCAGCTCTAGCGTCTAGTAGTAACAGTGGTGCCTCTTCCTCGTCATCGTCCGGCCGCTCGTCTGCTTCTAGTTCCTACGATGGTAACGTCAAAGTAGCACCAGGCAGCAGTATCAAAACTACGTACTCGTGGAAAGAGGTTGGCTATACCGACTGCAGTGCCACTTGTTTGGGTGGTAAGTGTATGATTGAACTTTCAAAGTTGATTTCTTTATAAATCGCTCATTTCTGGTTTAATGTTCATCATTCACTAGCGCTTTTTTCTATTATTGCTTACAGGTGTGCAAGATTTGATTATAACTTGTGTCAGAGACGATACAGGTAAAACAGTTATGCCTTTACTGTGCTCCGCTGATACTAAACCAGAGTCAAGGATAAGAGTTTGTAACGACCACCCATGTCCCCCGAGGTAATGATGCCGTTTCCTTACTTTATATATTAAATGAATTTTATGCAAAAAAACTTATATTATATTGTGAATTGACACGAACTGATTATTATTAAAAAGTTAATGAAAGAATACTTTTTAATCGCCATTAAACCATTATGAATGTTTTAAAATTTTATTGAATACTTATAGAGTTCTATTATTTAATGAACGTCAAGCAGTTGCGATTTTTTTCATATTACAATTTAATAGTACCTAATTATTTCTTTACAATTATAGATGGAACACAAGCGAGTTTTCACCTTGCATGAGTCCCTGCGGTCTTGGCATTCAGACCCGTGAAGTTAATTGCATCCATGAGGTAACGCGTGGCACTGGAAATACGGTAGTCGTACCGAATCATATGTGCCCGCAGCCACCTCCGGTTGATCGACAATACTGCAATGTATGGGATTGTCCAGTACAGTGGAGCGTAGGCGAATGGGGCAAGGTATAAAATTTTCATCAAAATCAAAAATAATTTTTCACGACTAACGTAGTCATTCACTCAAAAATTGTTCATCTTTATTATACTTGATTAATAATTTAATGTTCAAATGACCGCTGTGTAGTGCTCAAAAACTTGCGGTGGTGGAGTGAAAAAGCGCAAAGTGATATGCGAGCAAGTAATGGCGCAGGGACGAAAACAAACACGTGCAGAGCGTGATTGCCCAACGCCCAGGCCACGCACAGAAAAGGAATGCAATTCTCGCCCTTGCGATCAAGCGAATCCTGCGGTCAAGCCTATTATTACCTCCAAGAATGTCACTTTCGTTCAAGAGGATCCAGATAGAAAAGTTAATTTGGATATCGGTGGACAGGCGACTATTTTTCAAGGCACGCCAGTTATCAAGATTCGTTGTCCCGTTAAAAAATTTGACAAGTTCGTTACATATGTTCACATATCTGTACAATATATCATTATTACGCTATAAATGTAATTCATACTCATGTGTAACGATTCTAATTTTTAGGGCACATATTGTTTGGCGCAAAGATCATGAAGAATTACGAAAATCGCGCAAGTACAAAATCAACAAAAAAGGAGCTTTAAAAATAGTTGATATAAACTTTTCTGACAGTGGCGTATACTCTTGTTGGGGTAAGTTTCCATTTTATTATTTTACACTTCTAAATATATATTTGAAAATGTATTTTTAACCATTAATTCAATTTTAGTCTATTAGATATACGGTAAAGTTAACGTCTATAAATATTTATAAATTGGTCACATTGACTAAAGTTACAAATTTTGAAATTTTAGCCGGACAAACCAACGCTGCAATGCATCTTGTAGTAAGATCAAAGAATCGCGACCTCATGAGCAACGAAGAAGTTTTACGTTCTGGTAATGCGGTACATCAGCGTCAGGGAGCTCATCTCAGCTCTGCTCCAGTTAACTCAGGTAAACTTATTTTATAACTTAATTAATTGACAATATAGTATTTTATTTTTTTAAATTTAATTTCCAATAAAATAATTCGTTTTGTGTAATTATGCAGAACCTTTTTATGGCATTTACAATGAAGAAAGTCAAGAGGCTCAGTTGGAAAATGAAAGATCAACGGAAAAACCTCGAAAAAAAAACAAAAAACAAACATCCAGTCCCTCTCCAAGTGGCTCAACGGGAAAATTCGACTACTCAGTCACGCCCATACATCAGGTACATTATTAATCTACACCTGATTTGTCACCTGAATAGTTTTATGTTTTAAAATCGTTCGATCTTTTAATTCTAAATTACTAACTTTAATTAAATAAATTTATATATCTGAAACTCTTTCGTTCCTTTTACTTACTAATGGGTGATGGAATCTTTCATTAATATTTTTGATCTCACTGATTAACACCGCCACATTGGATAACAATACAGCCAGTAGAATCTACAGCTACTTCAAGCGCCTCTACACTATCCCCTCATCTGAGTTATATTGTAACTACTATAAAGGTGGGACATTTGATTCATAACTACTCCTTTGTGTTTCTATATCGACTACGCTAATTTAACTAATTACTAAAAAATAAAAATTTTAAATATAAAAAGCAACCTTTTATTATAGAGTTACTGGCCATTTCAAGGATCATCGAATTCCCCATCGGGACGTAGCATTGATGATTCAACTCAGTGGCAAAGCTGGCATAGTTCCGATCAACGTGCTCCAATGACAACGGCTATGAGTCAGCATCGAGCAAGTTCAGAATATGACTATGCGGTTGAATCATCTATTAATTCTAAACCAACGCAAGCAGAGTACGATTTTTTCCGTGGTAATACTGCTATTCCAGACAACACTTTCGGTCCTGACGAGGAGCGAATTTTCATCGACGATGATCCATTTGAAGCCGAGGAAGTATCCTTCGCAATAGAACACAAGAACAATGAACGTTCTCGTGAGTCCGAAATCTCGAGCACCGAAACACCGAGCGTATCTATGATAAGCTACGAGACATATCATCCAACTCGAGCTCGTCATCATCACGGAACTGATAGCACCTTAGTACATCCTCATCGTCATGGAATTTCATCTTCACCTTCAACGTCAAGTTCGAATACGACTCCAATTCTCAATTCCGATGATGTTCCGGATCAATTCAATGTGGCAACTGATGCACAACTAATTTCGAGAAGCGGTTTGAAAGAACGTGGCGATGCAAAAATGAATGAGTCCACCGCAACTACTCCATTGATTAATATGGAAAACGATAATGAGCAGACCCATCAATTTGGAGATATTTCAACGTTGCCAGCAGACGCTTTTGATTCCTCACTTACTCCCGATAATGTATTAGATCTGGAAAATGATACTTTAATAGAAAATAAAGAAGTAATTGTTCCCACATTTGAATTACTGGCAGAAAATATCTCTAGCACCGGTAAAGCTGGTAAAGACATGATGAGACATGTTGATACTCCTATTTTGTTTACGGTCGCTCCAACTCAAGAAAATAAAACTGTAACGCCATTTGTACTTAGTAACGAAGATAAAAACCGTGAACCGACTATTGGTACTATCGCCAATTTTACCAAAGGTAAATACAATCGTTATTTTTGTTCAGTATATAGTTTTTATAATGTAGTTATGTCATAATTTTAGATAATTTAATTTTTGAATGGGTTACTACTGATTGGTCAAGATGTTCTCAATCATGTGGAGGAGGTGGATTTCAAGTGAGTTAATCTGAACTACGACGTATATTAAGTTCACAATAAATTAATAACTTTCACAATTTAATCAATAATTTTTATATTATGACAGATGCGTGGTGCTCAGTGCACTGTTCGTTCAGTCAAAAATGATACAAGCGATATGAAAATGCCAGTGCGAACCGTTATGGGACCGTCTCTTTGTGAAGATGCAGGCCTTCCAGTTCCCGAGAAGGTACGAGCTTGTGGTACTGGAAAATGTCCTCAATGGCATACTACCGAATGGTCTTCGTGTGAAACTTCTCGATGCTTTAATTGGAAGACTGGTAATTTTCATTTGTCCCTATTGCATTTGATTTTTTTAACGATTGAAGTGTTGGACTACAATAACATGTTTTTGTTATTACAGCTATGCAAAGAAGAGAGATATCTTGTCGGCTCGCTGAAGAGACGAGCGAAGGTGTTGATATTTCGACTGTAGTTGACATGAGTAAATGCGACGAGTCAATGAGACCACCCCAAAGACAAGAATGCTACAATGATGCTTGTAAAGGAGTTTGGAGGGTCGGTGAATGGTCAGAGGTAAATTATTTAACAAAGTTGATGCATATCTTTCAAAGCTTGAGTTTTTATATTTTAATAATTCACATTCTAATTCACTGTTAAAATAGTGTTCGGCTTCATGCGAAGAAGATGGAATAAAATATAGAATATTGCAATGCGTTTGGTACGGTACCAAGAAACCCGCTGGAAACGTGTGTAGAAATTTACCTCGACCACCTGTCATGAAGACATGTCGAGGTCCACCATGTGCAAAATCTTCAGGTAACTGAATACAATAATTTACAAAATTAAAATTTTTGAATTTAAACAAAAATGAAATGAATAATAAATACTACAAATTTTCGGGCAGATGACTGTAAAGATCATTCGAAACTCTGTGGACGAGTAAAATTGATGGGAATGTGCCGGGTGCCTCTTTATGCGAAGCAATGTTGCAATTCTTGTCATCAAGATAAAAAAGTATGAATTTAATGGTCTTCGATACGCCAAAAAAAATAATTTGATATACCTGACGCTAGTACACGGCATCTTTTGATTGAATTGGATAAAAATACAGCTCTGACTAAAAATTTTAATGTCAACAGAAATTTTATTTCACTGATTTTTTCAATGGTATACTAGTTAAAGCCCCAAAATATAATCAATACCTCGAATGTATTAATTACCATGTGGTAGAAATTTGGATTTGCAAAAAAAATTGCGATTTTTTTTATAAAATAATTGTTAAGACTGAAATTAAATGCTGAATTTCCTTGATGCTTATTCCATTCAATAAGAATAATCAAATTTTTTGTATCATGTTATCAATTGAAATGAAAAATATTAGTTTTTGATTTATCATGTTTATTTCATCTTCTTAAAATATATCTGTTCTATATGAATTCGAATTTTAATCGTAAAAGTTGAATTTGTTAACTGAAGGAAAAAGAACTACCACAAAGTGGATTATTCAAAATATACAACATATGCATATTTGTATGTATCAAATTACTCGACGTATGCCTACAAAAATAAGTCCTGACAGGATGAATTTGTGAAGCCAATAGATTTAAGCAATAACAAATATGTACAGGCAACTGTAAAATAATATTTTGTTAAAATAACAAGTATGTCAGAAATCCTTTGACAGATGATTATCCACTACAAGGTGAAACGGATAAAAATTTGATGGTAAGGGCAATTTAAAATATAATGTAGAGATGGTTTTTTATTGTTAACGTACTCTCGCCATCGACAAATTTGCCTCAAAAATGAATGGCATAGCAGTAATCGGGCCAAATTAAAGTGAATGAAGCTTGACTTTATAAGATAAAATGATATATTAAACTTTTTTTATATTAATGGTGTGGACGCCGAAACAATTAGTTTAATTTTAAAAATGTATGAAAGTATGTTGAAGTAATTTTGTCTTCGTAAGTCTTAATTTAATTTTATAACATCAAGAAGTTATTTCTTGCATAAATACAATGAAAAATTTTTGTTCAATTTCAGATTTACATCTTCTATTCCAATTGAACGACTGGAAAATTGTATTCTTGTGCTCACACTCAATTTTTGCATTTTATTTACAATTTTTACTACGTATTTAATAATTGTAACTGTGAATTGTAGTTCTGTAAAAAGATTTTTATATATTACATAAATCATCATATTAAATTAAGTTACTTGTACTATTTAAAGTATAGAAACTAAGGTCTTTAAGTAAAAAAACTTCCTATAAAAAATTTGGCGAGTAAAATTTGTATGGATACACTCTTGGAGTGTAACAACTTCACTTGCTCAAAGTAAAAATTTATTGTAAATATCGTTAATGAACGATAGCTATCTTATATCAATATATCTTGTATGAATATTCTCATATTCTATAGAAAGCATCACTCTGGTTAGTTTTCTAAAGTATAAAATCGAGTAAAAACAAAGATAATATTAACTTTTGCAGAAAAGTACTCGTAAAAAGAACATGTTTATCGGCGATTGTTGGTTTGAAATATGAAATGAAATTTATTTTTGCCTTATCATGTGAATAAGAGGGCGAAAAGGAACTACGATTTTTGTACATAGCAAAAGTGGTTTCTCCTCAAACTCAATATTATAATATAATTAATGATACGAAACGAAGTTATTTATAAAACTTTATTACACTTATGTAAATATTGCAACTGCCTGATTCTCATATGCATGAGCACACAAATAAAATGTATATATGTACGCGTATATGAGTGTGTATTAAAATTATAATATACCAAAATATATTCCCCCAAATAATCTTATTATTTTCCAATATCTGAACTCTTTATTTCGAAATGGTTAGTTACATTGTTTAAATATTGTTTTCTAGTTTCACTGCAGTAAAAAAATATTAAATTTTATTTTTACAATTTTCGGTTGTGAAGGATATTTGAAATTCAATTATTTGAGTAATTAATACAATTCCAGCTGCATATAATCTAGGTTTTTTTATATACCCTTATTTTTTGTGTTATAATAGCACTTGGTTGCACAAGCAACAAATGTTCAATGAATTTGACAATCAAAGCAACCTTACGATCTAGCGATCTGGACTTTTTTTATACTCGTTAACGCCGGGAGGACACGATTCTGACATTTAACTTTGCGCTCTTACCATGTCTCAATCAACACGAAAAAAATTATGGCAACCATTATTCTTTAGAGTTTTCAGGGTGTACTTTCCGGTGGTGTTATTTAAAATTGTGTAAATTAATAATGTATTATAAAAAATTGCAAATTTACACAAAAAACGTGTTTTTGAGGTCAACATTTTTTTCATTTGAATTTTTTAACAAGTTATCAATGTTGTATGGTTTAACCTACGTAGAACGTGCCCTCGCAGTCTCTACTGTAAAACCCATGGTTAGTTTTGTCAAAAAATATTTTTTTCTTAACATAGTGGCGGCTTGAATGAAAAAATTCACTTTAAAAATGTTATTATTTTTTATCTCATAAACTATCGAGTTTAGAGAAAAAGTTTATAGAACAAAAAGTCTGAAATATATTACATTCTTTCTCAAATTGATCCAAAGAGGCTTTAAAATGAATGAAATTCTTGATATTTCTAATTCGTTTACGTGGATTCATAAAAAAATCAAACATGTTATGTATGTCTGAAAATACAACTTAAAAAATAATCACGAATCATAGTTTAATGTTCCAAAGTTTTAAAGCTTCTTCATCTTTCATACACCACAGTTCTTTGAGCAAACGCCACTTGAGTGAGTGTGTTCTAATTAAATAGTGATTCTGAGGTTCTTTTAGATAAGAATATGTACCCATGACTAAACTTTGAGCAAATCTTGCGCACACGCACAATTTGAGTATCTCAACTTCTTGGTGCGTGAGCTGTCGAATCATTCTGTACCCTTCAATAACATGTTTGGCACATTCAATATTTTCATATTGAGTTATCATGTAGCAGAGACATATTGCTAATTCAAATACCAAACAACTTTTATGCGAATCGCCGAAATCAATGATGGCCTCAACGCTTTTTCCACCTTTGCTTACAATTATGTTATTTTCATTTAAATCTCCGTGAATAATACCAACTTCTAACTTGTTTAATAATGGTATTACACGATTTTCGAAAGTATGAAGAATTTCTTCAATTATTTTAATCTCCGTGCTCTTTTTGAGAACATGAACAAAGTCACGAAGTTTAGGAATTGACTCAAGCGACCAGAGCGATTTTTGAATTTCATAAGCTTGATGAGAAAAATCTTTCAAAGCATCGTCAAATTTAGCGGTAAATAATCCCACTTGTTTTAATAGTTCCGGGCATTTTGGAGAATTTTGTAAAACGTCTCCTGGTATATATTTCAGAAGGCGCAAAAGATGTCGTTGACCTGCACAAAAAGTATTTTAATTTTAAAAATTTCATACTGAAAGAGAATATTTTTCATAAAGATAAAGATAGTAGATTTCATCTCTCTGTATTAAATTTAATGAATTAAAGCCAAAATTATCTTTTTTATTATATGCTGTTCTAAAACAGACTCGATTTTTTCATCGGGTAAAAGTAACATTTAAAAGCTAAGTAAAAATTACAAATATAATTGACTAATCTCCTCAAATAAAAAAGAACAGTTACCTTCGGGTCCAATACTTTCGACAGAGTAATAGGATCCATTAATTTGTTTAACTGGAATTGGACAAACAAAATTTTTTTTGTTGAGGTAGACAAGCAGTTCATTCTGAGCTTCGAAAAATCCTATTTTTTGTGAATCTAATGAGTTAATAATCTTAAAAACATATCCATCTTCGGCCAACGACGAAATATGAGGATTGTTTACTGTTTTACAAAGTATTCGATAGTTGCGATCGTCGTAGGCATCGAGTTCGGTAACTTGACTCACTTCAAAACCATAGCGTAATTTGAGCAATTGCTTCACATCTTCTTCGTTTATTTGTGCTTTGATTAGCTGACCTGGCTTCAAAATGTACGATTCGTCAGCCATTGTAACAAAATAATTTTTTGATATTGAGCTGTTGAAAATTATTAAAAAATAATTGTGAGATTAAACGAATGTAATCTGACAAGTTAAGTGTTATTTCATTTCAGGAGAACTGGCTGAGTTTTCCGCTTATGATTGTAACTACAGGGTCTTACAAACGATGTTGAAAACGAGTGGGGGAAGACAATTGAACTGGATTGTCGCTATCTATCACGCTGTATGTCTTGATAACAACTTGATAATGTAATAAAACAGTGACGATTACGTATGGCCTACAAAAATTAATTCAAGAATAATGAAAAAATTGTCGGAAAATGAGATATTTATCTTATTTTAACGCCGGTAGCTCAAGAATTTTCGTTCCTATCTCCAACATTTAATTTATTTCATGAAAAATTGTTCTTATTTTGATCTTTGAAGATATTATTTGATATTCCACCGACCAATACGGACGTCAACATGTTCATTCAAATTTATACTATATTAGACATTTATCAATCCATAAAGAGGCTTATAATATTGTACTAAGATTTAGGACAGTTTTTTAACTTACCTCGGATTTCTACGTTATTATTGGTAAATAATGGAATAGATTTATTCTTAAACAAAATGAAAATACAATAATATTGAAATTGAATATCTTAATCATTGAAACTCTTTTATCAAGTTTTAATTTTACAAGTAAAATTACATTACTAATAAAAACTCTTTACGAGAAACTTTTGAACTTCGATAGAAATTGGCAATTAACATTTCCAGACGTGAATTGTGGAAAAATGTATTTCCACTTAGTCGAAACATATGTTATCTGATCCATCAAAAGGGTTAACTGAATCAGTAGGAGTACCTAGTAGCTACCTTTGATGTTTACATTGGTATCTGTGAATTGATGCGTATATTTTATATACCGAAAGTAGTGCTGGCAAAGTAGGTCCCGTATTAGTAAATTTGAAAGTTAAATTTCCAACAGCTAAAAAGAAATGAAATGACCTTGAAAAAAAAAGTTGCAATATTGAAATATTCAATTGTACATTTTTAAACAAAAAATTTGTATTTTTACCATGTCGACATTTTTAACTATATATAACATAATTAAATAGCAAATGGATTTTTCGAAAATGTTGAGTGAATCCAAATGAATAACTCTGCTTTGCCCTCGCTAAATTTGGTTCATAAAATATTTTATATTTTGATGTAATTTTCTTGTTTCAGGAATCCTATTTGTTAAAAAATAATAAAATTTACTGAGCTCAATTCACTTTATTTTGATTAACATATTATTTAGAAAATACCTTAATGGTTTTGATACATTTAAAAAATCAAAATAATCGTAAAAGTAAGATTGAAAATTTGAATCTTCAAAAGAAATAGTTAACAAATTGTAACACAAATAAAATAATTTGATAACGTTGGCTAAAAAAAGTCTGGCATCAAATATTACAGTTTATTTTATAACAGATATATGATGTTATTAGTTGCTGTTCAAGTATTTAAATTTACGACATTTTATTCAAAATAGCCAAATGCAATGATTCAAGTTGAGTTGTCCACTTATCTAAGGCGTTGTACCGAGCAGCACAGACAGATTTTCTATCAAGTTCCAGAACTTGGTTTACCTGAAAATATTTTTGTTTATTGTAAATTGGTAAAATAGTATACTTCAAGCGATTTGTATATTTTTGATTACTACTATTTAAAACTTTATTATTATTTACCTGGTCAATACGCCCACGGATCGTGTTATCTAAGATACATGAAGCCAGTAAACTTTCAACTTCCGTAACATCAATATTAAGTTCTTTGCTTATGAATGGAATATGAATTCTTGTATAAGGTTTTATTAATTTTATGAGGACCTAAAATTTAAAATGAAGTAAAAACGATTAATTAACTTTATTCAACTAAATGTTTGGTTCTATTTTATTTTGAAATAATATTTTAATATACCTGTGTTCTTATGTTACGAAGTAAATCTTCAATGTGTTCTCTGATAAAAGGATCATCCATAATATTGTTTCTATTTTGTTTCAAAATTAATTCAAACTGATTGATATCATTATTTTGATAACTAACTACAAGATTAGTCATTGCCAAAATTTCAGGATCATTTTTGTAAGGTTTGGCTTCTTGAGAATCAAAAGGATTAATACCTGATTTCATTAACCTGTAAACAAAAAATGATTAAAATTGACTTTAGATATACTTTAGCCATTATTATAAATATTTATTGACATATCAAACTTACATGTTCGCAAGAACCAAGTATTTTAAGCACGTAGTTCGCCGTGGAGAACCTGATTCATCATAGTTTTTAAATGCTTCAAAAAAGTCAGTATGTGCCCTTTCAAATTCTCCTTCTCTCAAGTGCATTTTACCCCCACATTCTATATTTTTTAAATATTTTAGATAATTATAATATAACTATTATTAAAAAATTTAAAATCAATTATTTTTAAAATATTTAACATACCCCTAATAACGCCCATAATGAGAGGATGTGGAATTGCACTTTTAATATGCAAACTTTGCTCATAGAGGGTCTTAAGTTTTTTATTGTTCTTTTGTGCAGTGTACATCTGTATTTCTAAAGCATAAATTTCTAATAGTTGAGTACCCTTTTTTAAATCATCTTCTCCATCGTCAGTCTAAAATGCAATAGAAAATATTAATAAGAATAGTTTATACTATTGTAATTTAATTGATGGTAGTATTTTACTTGACAACTTTGATGCAGTTGTTTTAAAATTTTAGCTAATTTGTTAAAATCTGATCGGTCAAAATATAACTTCCCCAACTTTGTATTAGTTTTAAACCACAGTCTATCATTTTTGGCATCTTTTAAAGCATCTAATGTAGTTTCATAGAAATCTTGCAGTAGTTCCATCTGAAATTATGCACATAATATTATTTGTAAAGATTCCTGTGAATAATTTATACAATCATAACGCGTATGGATATATTATAAAAAAACTTCATAAAGATATACTCACATTTTTTGATGTACTAATATAATCTAAAATAGAATTAATTGATTTTTCTGAGTGATTTCTTGTAACTGCACTTTTGATGTAGGTAAGTAATTGCTTATACCTAGTCATCATTTCTTTGTAATTGCCCTAAACATGATATCATAAATCAAAATAAAGAAGGCAATTTTTGCTTAATGTTCCAAAAATTTTGTTCAACTCACTAGTTTGAAATTTATTTTTATCATTTGTTTGAGAGCTTTGAACCCCCATTCTCCTTTGTCTCCACCTTCCAAGTCCAAAACTTTTTGAAAACTTTGTAGGGCTGCCTTAGGATCATCCTCTTTCAGTGCTTTACTATTATAATATTGATTTTCTAAATCAACATCAGGTTCTGAATTAGAGTCTTCTGAGTATTCCTGAAATATTACATTTGTGTAATGAGTATTTAGTTATTACTAATAGTGAATTGAAGAATTGAATTTATATCAAAACACAAACATTAATGATTGACATTTGAATTTTTCAGAAAATTTAGAATATTTAGTCATTTATTTTTCATCAAATATTTCAAGTATGAACTGCAGAGATTGATGTGACTTTTTGACATAAATATAACGTAATTATATCAATTGAAATTCTTCTGAATAATAAGGCATAATAATTATATTAGAAATGATAATGAAACCATGTATAACCTTACTTTACAAGTCTTTGATATTTACAAAATTTTGAAGGTGATAAGTTTACTCACCAAACCGTAATCTTCTTCTTCTTCACACATGAAATCATCATCACCGTCAGACATTTTTTAACTTTTATACAACTAATTATAAAAAAAAATTGAAATTTTAATAAAAACAGCGAAACTTTCGCACAGTATCGACGCAAGTGCGATAACTTGGTTAACACGATTCTGTTTTTGCGATTTGTTATGCTTGTGGTGGGTTGAGCCTTGTAGATGTTATCGAAATTTCTAAAGGCAGAAAGAAAAAAAGTCTATTCGAAGTAATTCAACTTTTACGCTTTTTACTGAGTATACACGCATGAATATAATTAAGCAAGCCGGACTGGTAAACCAAAAGGATACGGAGTAATGCTTCAATCCACTATCCCGCCCCTATAGTGCAGAAATTCACTACCATGCCTGCCAAACTCAGCGTGTGCGTCCCATAATGTGAATATGTTGCTGCTAGCGACGAACGAACCGGCGTTTACTTTAATCCGTTTACATGTTGTGACTGAAGAATCCCAAATCCAATTCAGTTTCGCCGGTTAGCATACCAAAACTGACGTGAAGTAAATATGACATTGCTAAGTGCAATTAAGTATGAAGTGTCGTGTAATTTTTTAAAGTGATTTCTAACTATGTTTCAGATATTATATTATTACTCGCATGGATTGTGGATAATTAATTGTGTAAAATTATTGATCATAGGATTCAGAATTATACATTTTTAAACTAGTTACATGAGATTAATGTGGCACGAAAATTAAAAAAAAAAACAAAGATATCAACAAAATCATATATTTATATATAATATTATCAAAGTGTTATATTGTTAACAATTTTAGCCTTATATATAATTTATTTATTTTTTTAACAGTAACTTGAAACAATTTTCATATGTACTAAGAGCTGGTGGTATGCCTTCCAGTTGATTCAGTAAAGCTATTGCGTGTGAAATATGTTGATTTTTGATTAAATGATCAATCAATATTTTTACATTTGTTTCAATTTCAAACAAATTTTGATTTTCAAAAACCACTTCCAATATTTTATTGTACAAGTCATGGTTGACTGCAAATGAAGATGTAAGATTGTTGAAGAAGATTTCTTCCAAAATAATAGAATTGAGAGATAAAGACTGAAAAATAAAAATTAATAAAATAAGCACAATAGTCTCTTGGTAAATTATTATAATCACACAATCAAAGATAAAAAAATCCTTCAAATTTATAACTAATTTAACAACTTACTTCATAATTCAATTTTATAAAGTCAATAGCATTTTTTTGAAGTTGCATTTGCTTTGAACATAACTTTAAATAAATATTTTGTTCTGGAGTAAGTATACTTTCCTCAGTATTAAGAAATTTGACTAAAATCTAATAAAATTATTTACATCAGTAAATGATATTTACTATTTATATGTTTGATGATTTTAATTGTAATAAACTTACATCGGTTGAAGTTAAGCCTTTTTGTAAAAAATCTTTGATCTCTTGACAAAATATATCAGTAGCTATGCTACTATTGGAATCTATATTTACAAGTTTAGTTAACATTTTCCATGTGCAAGTGTATATTTCATTATCATCAGTATTTAAATTTTTCTCTTTCAATTTTTGGAATATTATTTGTTTAGCTTCCCTGAAGTCATCGATATTTTGTATTTTTGACCATTTTTGTTCAAAACTCTCATCATTTTCTGGTATCAGATAATTTTCTGTTACTTCTGTCATTATAAATGACCCTGCATCATCAACTACTTCCTCATTTTTTGATTCTTCAATAAGATTGAGTACTTTCTCATCTTTTAATTCTTCTACATGATTGGTTTCATCATCAATGGCCTCCTCATATTTTGATTCTTGAATATCATTGGATTCTTCCACCCATTCATCTCCCCAGTCATCACTCCATCCATCTGCTGCTTCGGGTTGATACAATAAATCTGAATTTATTTTTTTGCTCTCATCCATATATATAACATTAACGGGAGTATCAAATTCTTTTTTACTCTCTACAACTGTAAATGTGTTTTCTATTTCATTTTTATTTGCATGTATGGTAATTTGAACATTTGTTTCTTCTGTCTGAGTTTTTGCATTTAACAGTAAGTTCATATTTTCTATCAATATTTTTTCTTGCTCAATCAAAGAGGATGATTTTGTATAAAATATATATTTAATTAATTCATTTGGATCATAGGAAAATACTTCATCAGATTTTGGAGCCATTCTTAAGTAAAGTTTTAAAGCAGAAAAGTATATCAATAGTTCAGTAAAAGTTGTATCTGATGGAGAAATTTCAAAAAGTTCTGTAACTTTAGAAACAGATTCATCATTTATATTCAAAATGTAACTCAAACCTAAATTACAATCCTCCAAAATGGTATACTTAGCACAATCAAGCAAAACTGAAAATTAATAGGTGTTTAAAATATTATCGATTGAAAAAATTTTGAAAGCATTACACTATACTTACGATGATTGATATCACTAATTTCGGTCCCACATGAGGCATTTTCACTTAGCAAAGAAATTCTCATGAGTGTTTGATACAGTTGTAATTTATTATCGGTATCTACTTTAGAATATTTTGAGTATTTGGTATTCAAAGTGCTGATACCAAAATTCTCATTCAAAGTTTCATAGAAACAAAAGAATTTCTGCTTATTTTTTTGGGATGCTTTGGAATCAATAATTTCTTCTTGTTTGATATATTTATTTTCAGCTTCGGTAAAGCTAAAGTTTAGTTTGGATTTCCAAAAATTTGTGTTCCCAGCATTCCTAATCAATTCAAAAGTTGACTGAGTTACCTTTTGAGCTGAACTTTTGACTAAATCTGTTGATGTTTGGACAATATTAGGCCTGCATTCTTCATCTTCACATTTGGCCTGAAATAGAAAAATTAAATTATGCAAATATTAATTTTTAGTAATGGCATTTTGCGAATTTACTTTTCTGGATTCCTCTTTGGCTGTATTTGAATTTTCTTCTTCATCATTGTCAGAACTATCATTGTCAGTTGGAACTAAATTTTGTAATTCAATATTAAGAATTTGAACTTGTAATAGATTAGCCCGTTTTAATAAGTCTTCAATCATATTACTAGGCCCATTACTTACTGCAAACCATATGCAGTTTAATCGACACTGTAGGTCTGGATAATCATCACAGTAGGCTAAATCTAATGCAATGTTCCAAGCAGCTTGATAATTATTTTTCATCATTTGTTTCACTACAGTTGAACAAAAAACATAGTCTCTGATTTCATAAGCTTTTCTTGCAATTAAACTCAATACTTTATTTTCTCTAAGTTTACTATTCCGATTTTCTACTCTCAAATATTCTGCTAGATTCAATAATTTTTGTTTATTTTTATATGCATCCAGTTTACTGTCCAAACAGTCATTGATGAGTTTTAATTTATCTTGTGTCATTCGTACTTGAATTGGTAATATGTCTACATTAAATTCATGTAGAATCTGCAGTGACTCTAAAAGATCATACTCTTCTTTAATTGTTTTTTCATTAAAAGAAATCAATTGAAGACACTCTCTGAAATTCAGAAATATAAAAATTACTTTTTACTTTTTCAATATGTTGTATAAATTCCTAATTACCTTGCTAAGTCTATTTCAGGATCCATAAGACTTTGAGAATTATTAAAATAATCATTACTTGCTTGTAAAATAAGCTGTATTGCTCTTTCATAAGAAACTTTGAGAGAAGATTTTTTTTTCTTTACTTCTATCAAATTAATGCACCCTTGAATAGATGCTTTAGATTTGGATTTTAATCTGGCTACCATACAAATTTCAAAACAAATTTCTATGTCAATGCAATTCAATACTTGCTCTTGAATATCAAGCATATCATTGAGTAACTGAGTCCAATTTTTTTCATTTGGACAGTTGTATCTGAAAAACAATTTTAGCAATATAATACTAAGTTTTGTTCAACCATTAATAAGAATAAATTAAAAATACATTTTTACTAAATTTTCACTCATTGATAAAAGTAAATCCTTGGCTCTTTCATTATTTTGTCTGCAAATTTTTATCTGGTGCAATGGAATTTTTACTCCATATTTATTTAGAGTCATTAAAGTTTTAAGTTCTTTTTCTAATTCTTTGTATAATTTGCTACTCTCTTCTTGTCCACTTAAATGATTTGAAATCGAATCAAAAATAGACTTTCCCTTAGAATACATATCAATATCATCACATGCATATATGCAATCCATTGCCAGTAAAGTAATACTCCCAAAAGTATCGATTACTTCTGAATCACATGAGGATTTCAAATATTCGAAAAATTTCACAGCATAAATCAAATTTCTTTTGCTTAAGTGAACCAAGTAGTCATATAGAACATCTTTTTCTAAAGTGTTACCCTAAAAAAAAATTGTAAATCAAACTAATGTACAAAGTTAATGAAGTATTAAAAATCTTACAAGATATCTTTTTCTTCTCCTTGAATATGGTAGTAGAATCGTTTTCAAATAATAAACAAAACTATCTTCATCAGCCTTTGACATTAATAATTTCATTTTTTCTAAGTCATTTAACTTTTCTAATTCAGTTAGAGATAATTCCTCTAATCCAATTTTGTATACTAAATCATCCAATGTTTCTAATTCAAAAATTGTGTTTTCTAAATTTTGAATATTGTGAGATTTTCCAATGTTCACCAAAGCTAGAGCATTATCAACCAAACGGCTATCATGCTCAATTTCATAAGCTCGATTTTTATACCATTTTTGTAATAAGTCTTGAGTCAATTCTTTATTCCTAATTAAAATAAAAGTTTGATAAATGATTTAAAAATCGTTGTTATTAATTATAATTGTTACCTATAAACTAAATAAGAATTTTTTTCTTCATATATATAATTTGCATCATCGTAGGTCTCCAGGTCAATGAAGGCAGAAAAGTCACTTCTTTCAACCCAATCTTTTGGCCTAATTTCTTTTTGATATAATAAAAACAAACGGCCATCTCCATCGCATTCTGGTAAAAGTTTTCGATATTTTTCTGGATGTAAGGTTTCAGGAAAGTAGCTAATAATCATCAACCAATGCGGTATTAAATATGCTCCATAATACGAAAACATTATTTCTACACCTTGAACATCTCCGCTTTTAGCAAATCTTGGAAGAAATATTTATAAAATATGTGCTTTTAGATTTGATTTTACCATATTAATACTTACTTGACGGCATTTTCTACGGGAGTACTAGATCTAAATACAGTATAAAAATCTTTATCAAATTTAGATTGTGATCCAATAAAAATTTCGTAAGTTTGCAATTTATCCAAATGATCTAAAATTTTTTTTCTGTACTGCATTAATTGTTTTTGAGATTTTGATAAAGTATTTTGAGTAATAGTTTCCAAAATTTTATTCATTTTTTGAATCTAGAACAAAAATCAATCAGAAATATTTCTACTATGATCAAATTTTTATAATTTGATAATTTAAACCAACTTTTTTTAACTGACTATCGCCGTCATCAAGATCATTATCATTGTCTTCTCCTCTTTGAGTAAATTTTATTATATCCATTGTACTATCATTTTCACCAATGGCTGATAAAGTTTCTAAGTTGGTGCCTTGAAGACCGAAATTTAAAAGCTCACGAGTAGCCTCTAAAGTTTCAGGAACTCTAGATATACATTCATCTAAGACCCATAATCTTTTGCTAACTTTACTCAAATGTTCATGAATGGATTCCATAGAAAATCCTGATTTTCTCCACTGAGTTTGATAAACAAGGTCAGGATCTAAATTGTATGTTTTTGCTAAATTTAATGCTTCTTCATATTCCTAAAAAAATATTTAAAAAATGTAATTATGCATTGTAGAAAATATTATTTTCAACTGTACCTCTATTTCCATTTTTTTGGCATACAATTCTTCTGGTGTTCTACTTTTAAGACCTATCAGTCTATAAGTTCTATAAAATATTTTTGATTTTTTCCTTTTGGGTTGAAAATGTTCTATGTCTGTTATTGAATACAAAGTTGACTGAATCAAAGTTTTAAAGTAGCTTAAAATGGAAAATGATACAACTTCGTCATCATCTTTATCATTTTCTGACATTTCTGAAGCAGAAAAAATAATATTAATAGCCACAATTTTCTATTTCAATATTACATGTTCAAGAAAAATTGCATATCTTTCAAGTTACCATCAATTGTTGATTCGTGATATTTTTTAGTACTAGTTATTAACATTTCACAATCTAAGCAAAGGAATCCTTTAGATGGTTCCAATTCAGCTATTTGAGGATGACTGTATAAAAATTCAGGATTGATTCCTAAAAGATTTTTCAGATTACTCACAGAGCACACAGAAATGGATCCAGAATATCGAGCTATAATAATTGCCTGAAAATTTGACATTAATGTAGGTTTCATGAATTTATTTTTAAAACATTTTTAACATACATCATCAGACCACCATCCAATATCCAAAGGTTGATATTCTGATATATTGACTAATTTTTTTAATTTAGTTGTCTTCAGAGGGTTTACAGCATTATAATTTGGTTGTTCATGAAGTTTCCATTGTTTTTGAAGTTTCAAATTTGGCATGCTCCAGACAGAAATCATTCCATCAGTATGTAAACAAGCTATAAGCTTGTTGTTTGGAGATATGGTAATTTTAAAAATGATTGACTGTGCACGACTTTTAATCATAGGAATAAAATTCCAAATTGAAAAATTAGATTTGTACATATCAATATCTTGAGATGAAACTGCTAATGTATAATATGGCTGGTCATTTAAAGTTCGCCAACATGTCAAGCCAATTTGTGAAGCTGAGCACTAAAAATAACATAGATATATATATTGATATGTGGGTAATCGCTGTAACTGAAATAATTAAAAAATTCAATTAAAAATTCTGCATACTCACACTAAATTGTGAACAAACAAAATTACCAGCAACGTAAAATAAATTATGTTTTTCGCTGTAACATACGGAGCTTACACCATTTCTATAAAAGTTTCCAAATGAGAAAATGTGGTTTTCACTAAAGCTGTTGCTAGATATACAGTATGATTTGAGTAAACCACTATAAGTAACCCTTATAAATTCATAATTCCATTTTTCACTTTCAACTCTTGGTTTCTTAAATATCATTGAAGCTGTGGCATCTCCAGCTTCTAAAATGTCTGTATCTTGAGACATTGATTTTGGTGTTATATTGAATATATTATTACCAAAAGAGTTATAAAATGATACGTATCCATTGCTAGATGCTAATGCTAAAATGGAGCCATCTGGACTCCAAGCCATTTTTCTCCACTCTGGAAAAGGATCTTTTGGTGCTGCAGAGTGAAATATATGATGTTAATAAAATTAAAAATAAAGATTCCAGATTCTTTTTTGTTACAACAATATTACCAGAAGCTTTTCCAGAAATTGTAGAATATTCATCTTTGGATCTCCTTATTTCTATGATATTCTCTTGTAAAATAGCTAGAACTCTCCCTTGATTACCTATTGCAAACTTCCACGGCAATGTATATCCTACATGTAATGAAATACTTTCAGGCAAAGAATACCTGTTGTTCAGATATCGTAATGCATTTTTGATAGTTCCTGTTGTAGGTAATAGTAATGTGTCGTTTTTGAACCTCTGTTAAAAAAAGATTTTTGATTATTCACACGATTGAAGACAAGTTTTAAATTCAAATCAAACTTTACCAAAAGTTCAGGTTCTTGTTTTCGTACAAAATATTCTAGAACTTCATACAAAATTGGTTCTTTATTCGACTCACTCAAATTTTCTTCGATCATTTTTAATGCTAATATTGGATAAAATTTATCTTTTTGAAGACAACATGTATAATTTATCTTGTAACTAAAATTAATATGTTCACATAAGGAATGAGAGTGCTATGACAATCATTCATGAAAATATAAATCAATTCCCCGTAAATGACGTGGAGCTGTCTGCTTATGTCCAAAACAATGTGATAGATTTATATTATGTCAATTGCAGACCAGTGCTGTCAACGCTCAACAGCTGCTACTCAAATGACTTTCGTTTATTGCTAAGCCGAGAGAGGGCAGTATTGTCACCGCACAATTTTTATTACAAATTCAGTCAAAAATTCGATAAAGGTACTTATTATTTTTGCTTGCAAATAAGTATAACTATAATAATAAAATAAACTTGATAATTTTATTTACATCTCACTCATAAATTGCTATCTAGTTATTAATAATAATTTTGTGACATTGGCATTATATTATTACTTCATTACAAAGTTAGTTAATAAACATTCTTGAAATTTGGATCACTTACTCCTCAAAACAAAAAAAATTTTCCCGAAACTGCTTTACATTTTGAATTGTAAAACATGTAAAAAATATACGCTTAATTTCTCCGTCGGTAAATATACCGGTAACTCGACCTTCCCACAGATCTCGCTATAGTAGAAGAATCAGACTAGTTGTTGAAATGTGGCTATGTAAAATTTTTTAACGCTAATAAAAACTGTCAAATCAAATCAAATTGTCGAAAACGAAGCTTCGTATATACTTAGATTTGTACAATATGATCGACAATAAAACCACTTTCGATTCAAATTCAATTCCGATTGTCAATGGTGGTTGTATATTTTTTTTTGAAGCCTGAATTTTAACTGTAGAAAAATATTAAAACATATAATCCTTCTAATTAATGTATCCTTGCATACACGTTTCAAGGGGATGAGAAAAAAATAGAAATTTTTAAGTTCTGACTTCTTAGTTTTCTGAGATTTCTATTGAATACTTTTCTAAGCTGTAGTGGACGTATCCACGTAATAAGTCAATGATGGAGCTCAGCGTATTACTTAACAATAATTTATTAATTATTTAGAATGGAGTACAAGGTGTGCGTGTGGCTTGCTGGAGCAACCAGCATTAAGAATCAAAAAAGCTCGTATGTTGAAGAAGATACGTACAAGGCCGACGTAAAAAAAAGAATAAAAAATATTTAAAATAACGCGTTTGATCATTTCTATTTTTATTTCTTCGACTTATCAATTATTTCTCCAGCTTTTTATATTTTCGCGTGAATAAATTTATATTTTCAACAGCAATCGTGAATGCATGATATTGTAAACATAATAATTAGGTCATCTAGTTACGGTAGCTTTAGCATTTAATTCTTCCGATAATATGAAAAAACAAACTTTAAGGTACAAGATGTGTTTGACGAAATGAATATGGGTGTACCACTCAGAGGGCTATAATTAATTTGCCATTGGGGTTACTTTTAGTAGCCAGAAAAACTTGAAAAAGCAGTACAACCCAGCTAATATGCAGCATTGGTTTCATAGGACAGAGCTAAAATTCGATATCGATAATTCGATTACACATATGTTTTAACATGTATGCGCTAAGCCTCGCTGCTCATTACCTGGGTATTTAACCACGCGACTATTAAAGGTTCGGTGCAAGATTGGAAAAGTATATACAATTGTTTTCAAATTGAGACTAATTAGTCATTTAAAGTTTTAAGCACAAGAAAATTTAACGATATATGAGCATTTGAACGTTCGCTGAGCTAGAGCAAAGCGCATTATACTTATTTTATTTTCAAATGTTAAAATTTCCAATTAGATTACAATTTTTGTAGGTATACTTTTAATTTTTAGCGCTACGACGTCGTTGAATTATATTTAGGGAGTAAAGAAGGTCTTGTTCATTATTCGAGAACTTTTAACAGTAGTCTACACCCAAAAGTAAGTTCAAAACTTACAACTTGCATGATCTGCTAATATGCATAGTTTATGAAGACATACAACGCTCTGAAATTATATTGATCTTAAGGACAAGTGTCTGAAAATGCGATTGTACAATAACAAGATTATTATCGTTATTTAAAATTTCTGAACTAAGAAATGCCTTTGACTTTTGTTATTTAGGAGGTAGGCATCGACTGTCTCAGCGTTTGCTCTAAACTGTTATACAAAGGTACATTATAGTCTTAGTATGCAAAAGCAAATAAACCAAATTACATGATCTCCCATGTGCATTACATACTTTGCACACCCTGTGAATTTAGTGGATTTTTTATGAGCGAACTAGTATTATTAAAATTAGTTTAATTAGTTACAATTTTTATGGTCATTCAGTTCAACCAAATTTATCAAATTGTTTCTCAATACTGTGCAATTATTAAGACGAAATTATTTAATAGCGAATTCAAAGTTTGCCTCATATCAAACACTCCAAATATACAAAGTAGCATGAAGTAAAATTTCATATCCATTATATCGCCGTTGCTTACGAGTAAAAACACAGTGAAAAACGCTACGAAAAAAAACCTACTGATAAAATGCCCCGAAAAAAAACACAGCTCATTGAATGCTGTGAAAAAAAACACACCTCATCGGAGCGCCACGAAAAAAAAACACACCTCATTGAATGCCATGAAAAAAAACACAGCACATTGGATACCGTGAAAAAAAACACAGCTCATTGGATGCCGCGAAAAAAAACACACCTCATTGGATGTCGCGAAAAAAAACACAGTAGAATAAAAACGCAACAAATTTCGATTCGGTGTGTTTTTTTTTCGCGGCATCCAGTGAGCTGTGTTTTTTTCGCGGCATCCAATGAGCTGTGTTTTTTTTCGCGGCATCCAATGTGCTGTGTTTTTTTTATGGCATTCTATGAGGTGTGTTTTTTTTCGCAGCGCTCCGATGAGGTGTGTTTTTTTTCGCAGCGTTCCAAAGAGGTGTGTTTTTTTTCATGGTATCCAAAGAGGTGTGCTTTTTTTCACGGCGCTTCGATGATGTGTGTTTTTACTCGTAAGCAACGGCGAATATATACTTAACTTGTGATCCTTAACTCGTGATTATTAATATGATGCAAGTTACGCTAGGTTGACACCAATTCGTCAGGTTAATTAAACTAAAGTATCGTAAGAAGCAATACATATATTGTAATTATATTGTGTCGAGTTTGTGTATTCTCAGTCAATTAAAACGTATACGTTCAAATTAGTCGGATGTTCAATTTAAACATGCCATATATGTGTTCTACCTATATATACCCCAGTGCGTGAGCTTAATTAATCGCCGGCGTATTATTTGTATCGCTCTGTACGCGGATCCGCATTGGTCAGCACTCACGTACACTGCGCTTGCGACTCGAATACAATATTAATCACGTTCGAGTCAAAAGTGAAAGAAAGGAAACAAACTCCGAGAAAGAGAGAGAGAGAGAGAGAGAGAAACTCGCCAGCTTGTTTGAAATTCATCACTTTTTCTCTGCAAACAGTAATTCAATGCAGAATGATCTATATATTTTTTTCAGTTTTGGTAAATTTTCATTTGAGACCCTAGGGTTCAATCTCGTAAGGCTTTTCGAGATAAATGTAAACATTTATAATTAAAAAAAAATCAAGAATGTTGAAAAATGTAAACGGTTGATAATATTTCAATTAATATAATGAAAAACTCATGTAAAATTCTTTGAATTTGATTCAAATTACATTAATTTTAATTATTTTACACGAAAATAGATATACCGTATACCTGATGGAAAAAACTTCTTTCAGTTTGATATTAATTTTCGTGTAATTATTTTTAATTTTCTATATATTGTATCGTAAATGCTACTCAAGTCACATTTATTACCAAACACGATTATGGTTACGGTATCAGCCTCGGTTGATAAATTCAAGGTGCTCTGAGACTTTTCAGTTTTTCACTTCCTAGGCGCAAAATATACTATATTTAATTTTCATGATTTTTGAGCAATTTCAATTAATATGTTTAAATTTGAGTAAAGAATTGAATCTTTTTTGTTTATTTTCGCATTAAAAATAATGAACGTGATTGTATTTTGATTCATTTTTCATACATTATGTGCAAAAAGAAAGCAGTAATGATATACATGCATTTTCAAGTAAAAGTACCTTAAAGAAGAAAAATAATTGAAATTCAGTATCGGTTACTTTAATTTTAATGTCTGATTTTGTGACATGTTTTTTCAGAGCCCAAATAATGTTAAAATTTAAAACGCGCAAAATCTTATCAAAGGTCGACAATGATTCTCTCTTAAAAAAATGTATGAGTAGTTTGGTGCAGACAGTTGTTCAGGATTGTGATTAGTTTTTGCTATAATTAATGAAGTTAGTTCACGTTTTATGAACTTTATTAAATAACGATTTCTTTACTATAGTATTTTTTGTTAAAAAAAAAAAATAAAAATAAAAATAAGTAGATTTAACACGATTACTAAGAATAAGCATTAAATTATTAAATGAATGGCACAAAATAAAATTGTGTTGCGAAAGTGTAAATAACTGCATTATCTAGAGTTAGATCATGGAAATCACTCTCCTTATATTTGGATTAATTTGTAATAGATGTATGTATGAAACGTATTTATGAGGAGGTGGTACGTTAAATGCATTTCAATGATCATACATTCGTATAAATTTCACCCAATGTGTTGCAAATTGAACATTAGTAAAATTGTTTAGAATTTTCAAACTACGAGTCAGTTTCAGTCACATGAAGTTGAATGAAGCTAGTGTATTAAGAAACGAAAAAAAGTTCTACGGAATTGGAGTTGAATAAGTTTAAGTAAAACTGAGACGTGGAGCTTGCATTAAAAAAATATGCATCTAGTCAGGGGGGCAGGAGCAAAACTAGCGCTACAAATTCTGATTTACCTGGGACACATAAAGCACGACATGGAAGACGAAGCAATAGCCTTATATATTCCATCTAATGCGCTAGTGGAGCATCACATATCTATAGTATAGAAGCGTTAGGTACGGCCAAGTCGAAGGCTTGCTGCTTTTTCTTCGATCCCTGCTTGGAATTTTAACGAATTTCGGTTGCGAGAATCTTTTGGTCAATCGACGCGCATGTAGCTACTTCAAACTATAATATGCATGTATGTATACACATGTGCCGTATATCTGAATATTTTACATAGATCGCCCACACGTGCTCTGCCATCCAAAGCGTATACAGTATATCTTCCCTTGTACTTGTTTTACGCTCGATTTCCACATGTGTCTGCTATAGAACTTTGCCCTTTATTTTCCTTAAAAATTCTGTTTTACTTCTTATTTTCTGAAATTTTTACTCGCTATGATATTTTTGTGTGTTATATCTTGCACAAGTAACGCATTTATTTGACGAATTTAAATGTTATTTAGGTTACGCACGGCCTATCGAACGCTTTTTCGAAATTTTGACTTTTTTTAATCGCGTTTAAATACTATTCGCAAAGAGGGAATTATTTTCAATAAAAATGTGGATCTTTAATCGAATAAAAGTAGTTTGTTAATAATATTAGTTATAATATAATATTAATAATAATGATGATAATATTGTTATTCGATACCAAAATTACAATATCGCTCTGTTACAGATTATATATTTTTTGTTTAGACTTCAAAAAACCATGCTCGTTTTCTAAATAATATGGTATTCAAAAAATACACCCTTTTAGAATTTTTATTTACAATATTTCTGTAGATTTCTTTTTACTTTCTTATTTTTCTTATTTTTCAAATTTATTTAAATTATTGTGTAAACAAGACGTGAAAATTCTACGTAAGCAAGGGTTGATAGTTGATTAGAGTTACTGATATTTTAGTTATCGATAGAAAATATGCAAAAGTCAAAGAAAAAAGAGGCTTAAGCATAGGTCATGCCTTTGAGTAAAAGTTTACAGCCCTGTTTGCTTTTCTCGTCGAACAGTAAACAAGCGAGCTTCATACATATAGACTAGAGAAGCAAGTTGGTTCCGCCAAAGAGTATCAATCTCCCTATAGGTCGGATGTTGCTACATAAGCAACCTGTTACGATCGGAGTAAGAGAGGATGTACAAAGTGAGAGGGTATGTGCGCTCACGGACATGTAAAAATTCAATGTATAGCTTTGTAACGCGCAGTATCTCCTTGAGCATCGTCAACACCTGCATCGTACACGTTGTACTCGCAGACCTGGAGTGGCTTATCCACGATCACGCTCTACTGTCCAAGCTGGCAAACAATATGTTAATTCTACGGCTGTACACACATACATATATATTGTTGTATACAAACGCCCATAGGCAGGATATATAAACGTCAATCAACGATTAAGATATGCGGCAAGTTTTAGTTCGACTAAGGCAATTAGGTGCTCTGTTGCGGTGTCTTTGACTGCTGCACAAGTCTATTTCCTATCCAATATATTCTTAGGTGCAATAATTTTTTAGATTTATTGCTAATTCATGTTTTCGATTGGCTGTACTTGGGGTTTATAAACTACTAGCCAACTGTTTTTTTTCTATGAAATTACATTTTTTGTGCAAATATATTTTAAGGGAAAGTATTTATTTGTTTATGGCAAAAATATCTAAATTTTATTTTACCAACGATTAATAAAAATCCTCAAGGCATAATAAAATTGTCTTTTCGATTGCATCGTTATAGCTTTAATATTTTTATTAATATCTAAAATTGTATTATAAAAAGTTGAATTCAGAAATCGTAATGTATTGATTACATCTAATGTGATTTTGAAGGACTTGAGTTAATGATATAAGAAGAATGAGAATAAAAGTATGAAAAACTCACAAAGACTTGTCCAATAGAAAATGTAATAAAAGTTTTCAGTTGAGTTTTCATTGACGGTTAGGAGTTAAAATCTGATAGAGGTGCTATAGATTTCTCTAAGCTACAAAAGAAAAAAATCAACAGAAGCTTGTGTCACTACGGCATAGATATGGATAGCGTTGGTAAGTGTAACAGCTAGCGCAATTGTAGCTATGGTTGTGTGGATTGAAATACCGTAAATGCACTCTTCAAAACTAAAAGGTTGCGGTAGTTGCTGACGCTAGATGTAAGTAATAGATAGGTCGAGTAATTGCTTCACTTAACGAGAAACACGTTCGCTTGCTTTATTCGTTCGTTCGTTCAGTTGGTCGTTGTCTCGTGATTCTCCGGGCAAGCTCGCCCATTCAGCACCAAAACGTATATATACTTTACACTGTATCCGTTTTATACGTATATGTCTTGGGACTGCACGATTTGAGAAATTTACCATTCATGAAATTCAGCGTTTTAATTATTCAGTTTAGTAAAAAAAAAAACTTTTACTTTTCTTTCATTGATGTAACAACTGAGAAATTGTACATTTGGTTAGTAAGTGACATAAGACTCAAGTTTTGAAAATTTGTTTCCAATGTCCACAGTATTGTGGATTATATTATTTTAATTTTAAAAACTGATTCAGCAAATAAAAACTATTACTTTAATGTTTTTAGGAGCATAATACAGCTCTTATGATGAGTGTTCATAGAAGTCTCCGAGAATGGATTTCAAAATGTTTATTTTAACTCTGGCTCTGGCATCGCCTTGATGCAATTTTAATTAACTATTTTTGTTATTTTTGGTTTGAATAGTATATTTCTATTCGACAATATTCCTATTTTTTTGATTTAAAATAAAACTAAATAATCCAGTTAGATTTTCTACGTTGCATGCCTTGCAGTGAGTTATTCATGGATTTTTGGTCTTTATGGACGTCAAAACGTTTACGCAGTTGACGTCTTTAGTTATAGTTGGATTAGTTATAATCGGATCAGCTGTACAAGCTGAATTACTTTTCGCAGTTGCGAGGATCGTCGTTACCATTTGCGGTTACACATGCATATAGAAAACTAAAGACGCGTATGCTGATAGCGTAGCCTTAAGACAGTAACGGATTGTTCGTTTGAATATCTTGTGGTTGGCAAAGCTATGCGAAAGGGGTAGAGTAAGAGTGCACATTGATACTTCGATTAGCTTCAAATTCTTACTGGGATATATTAATGTAAACCAGCAAGCTACAGCATTATTGGCGTGTACTTTGATTGCGTGTCTCTTAAATGACACTTTGAACCACCAAAAGATGCATCATGATTAAAATATCAACACTATTTCAAGAGAATTCTCAATTTTGGATGTAAAAAAATGTTGTCCACAATATTGTTCATAGATATTTATTCGTACATTTATTTGACAAATACAAATACACATAAACTTCAATCTAATAATAGTTTTTCTGCAAGGAACAAATTGATTTGAAGGTTCACTATGTATGAAGCTCTATAAAAAACTTTCAGACGATTGTACGATAATGTGACTTTAACGCAAGCGCAAATTGTTTTCTTATCTGTGAGTATAGATTTAGTAGTAGCTAATCTTCGTAAGAAAAAGTGATTCTCGTACGTTTCAAATTGATTCAGGTGTGTTTTTTTTCCTGTATTATAGCTTTAAAAAAATGAAGAATAAAATAGACCGAAAATTAGTTTGGATAGAACCAGTGCTTGATTTTTGGTATTTAAATCATGATTGAAGCAATGCTGTCGAAATATCTATAGATGCACCGGTATAATGTGGATTAAAGAGAGGGTGGGCTAGCCTGCCAAAGGGGGGAAAAGTGGGCGGCCCGCGGCATGCGCCCCTCTGAAAGTATGAGCGCCGCTGCAAGCTCCACCGTGCTCAGCATCGCTGCTACGCTATGCTTCAAACTTCTCAGTCTCACGCGTACGCTCGCCCGAAGCGTAGCGTTATCTTAAGGCATCATGCCATCCTGCATGGAACTTTTGCCTTTTTTACGATCGCGATTGTAGACGCGTGCGGCGTTATTTCTTTCTTGTACTTTTTCTAACAGCGTAATCGTTTGCACTCCTGAATTTCGAGTTTACCAAAATTGATTAGAAAAATATCGTTCACTTTTGGGTTTTATATGATTACGCGTGCACCAAGTAAACTATGAAACTTTTTACATAAATAGTGAGCTAAGCCAGTGTTGGAATAGCAATAAAGTGAGTGACGTTTGTAAATTCTTAGTTAGTTATTTAGTGAATACGTTTTCAATAAAGTACATGAGCACAAAAGTGCTAGAACACGTGTATTAGTGGACGTTTCCGACCATGTGGCACTAACGGTCAAAGTCAACGTAAATATGAGGATGATAACTACGTGAAGTACAGACTGCGAAGATTGAGATTCCATTGATATTTTTTGCGCTTGGTCACCTTCACGATTTTTTCATCTTCACACATTCTACGTCAGAACGATATTATCGTATTAACTTTTGTAAGTTTCAATTTTCTAAGACATATGAAATTTAATAAAATTACTTTATATGTATAGTTTTTTTTTATAGAAAAAATGCTTTTGTTTAGTTTTATAAACAATTCAGCGAATTATATTTATTCATTATTTTTCTTGTTCATAATTGTATAAGTAAAACTGTATTATACTTTTTTATATAGTAATTGTTTTAATTATCTTCATTGAAAAATGTATGTTATATGTTGAGCTGATTTGTTGATTGTCCGGTTAAAAATAGACTTGAAATTTCTGCTCATAATTTGATAAAAACGTAATTCGTTTAATTTGTTTAAAGTGTAAACTTTTCATACACAAATTCGATTCGGTTATTAATATCTTGTATATGAATAAATGTGATTTATAACATGCTAATAAAGTGAAGATTATATTGCTATCATATTAAAGTACTTTGAAATTGACGCTGGTAAAGTATTTTATCAACACATTAAAGTTGCATCGTATTCAACAATTCTGTAAAAATAATTATAAGTGATAAATAAAAAACTGTCTTTGTTTGCATAATTATTCATCATATACTTCACTGTTATTATTTGTACCTATCGTTTTAAAGAAAGATTACAAGATTTTCAAATTGATAAAACTGATGATAAATTTTCAAAACTCAATGAAATATTTTTCATTTCAAATACTGTAATAAAGTATGCAGATTTTGATAAATTGAACGATGATCGTAATGTTATGCTATTTTCCATACATTAAATAATGAAATGAGATTAAAAGAGTATTTTAATTGAGTCATAAATATGTCCTAAGTATTTGTATAAAACTTTTATAATTCTTAATTTTTCTGGGCACTTAGCTTTATAATTAAAAATAAACTTTTAAAGTGCCAGAGGCATCACGTGCCTCGTGTCATTCAAGAGTACCAATGGAAACATCGCCAAGTCATAGCAGCAACGTGTCCCATAATCGCAACTTTTACAATAATGAACAAAAAGTTATTTTATTTATTTAAGCTTATTCAATAAGTAGAAAGTGTAAAAAAGAAAACTGCTACTTTTTGCAGCATACAATCCTTACTTCATCTTCTTTCCTTTTTCATTTCATAACTTTACTCGTTAAGAAATTCCTTGAATGAAAATACGACTTTATCAAAGAGAGGCCTGAGGTAGCAATCCGCATGCTGATATGATTTTTCTCATATCCTATAGTTTGGACTGCTTCAGAGCTTCGATTCATTTGAAATTATTTTTTGATTATTAGTTTTACGACGACCACTGTTCAATAATAATTAATTTACATAGTTTCTATTCCATGGTAAATTATAGCGAGTTGCTGATGAAATTTTAACATTCGATTATTACAATTATAACTTATAATAACATAAAAAACTTTGCCAATCGAATAGAAACTCATCTAATAGTACTTTCATGTATTGAATGATTGAGGATACACTTGAAATAATGTCACTTGTATGAATCATGTATGCATACGTAAAACTTGTTCTCGAGTGTCGGCAGGTAAGTTTACTCATCATTTGGTTTGGGTAAAAGTTAAGTAAAATTTCATGGGGGAAATTTCAGTACTCTGTAAATTTATGCAATTTACGATATAAATGCATCGGTATAGAGACTACAGTCCGTTTTTAGCTACATTGCACCTAATTATCTATGAACCAAAAATTTCATTTGAATTAAGTTATTGTTTTACTACATTTTTCATATTGAGCCCTATTAGAGAATTTTTTGCAAAGCCCAATTTGGTAAAAAAATATACAACATAAAATATTATAAATGATTCTAATTACAAATATTCGAGTGCATGGTTTAAAACGAAAAATTCAAGTTTCGATAAAAACAAATTTTTGGGGATTGAATCCTATTTTTTAACTTTTATGATAGCGTAATCTATGGGGATATGTGATGTGTCACACATTGACATTTTATACGAAAGTAGATCATGACGGAGCACTCGTTGTATAGATACAGATGCATTGGTAGTATCGGTACCAGCAGCTCATTTTAGCAAAAGCTTTTACCAAACGTTCTCTTTCGGATTCATTTTGATTAAATGATCGAATGCCGAGTATCTGATCGATTTTTAGCGCGCTTTTACTTCTCTCTCGCATCGGCTCGCGTTCCCACTTTTTCGAGTTTATGTTATCGTCATATCGGTATCGGCATACATATGAATGGATCCGTGTGATATACACATTTGTGTATTAGAGTAGCTCTACACAGCTATATAGCCGCTGGCTTACTGCGTATCGTTGACTCGAGCGTAAACAATAACTTATTGAAAACGTGCCAAAGTAGAGTTGTGGACTTTGCAATTGTTAAGCTCGCCCGTAGTCTCATCCTGTTTATGCGCATTGTGGATAGTGAGAGAGAAAGAGAGAAGAGGGGAAAAAAGCTCACAGCTCGCGAATACAAATCTGCTTGACATTTAATGAACGGTGTAGTTTGTGTGCGCGCGCTTGGAATCCCAGGATACTATGGGCGTGCGGCGCTCATACGAACTCTGATTTACAGGGTAGTTTGACTTCCGCGGACTGGCACAATAACCACCAATTCGTAAATCGCCTCGTAAATCTCGCAAGCACCCCCAGCACTCGGCGCTACGTGCATCTGTAGATTGGCAATGTGTATCATTGTGAGCGTGTCCAGCAATTTGTCCCATTTCGTTAAAAGTGCGCCGCGCGCGCGGGGATGCTGGTGAAAAAGCAAAAGGATGCATACGCGCTGAACGAGCGCCGGTGCGGCGGCGCGCTCTCTTCCCTGCGCCGCTGTTACGCGATCCCGATCGTTTTAGGGGCGCCCAAGCAATGCTATCCCTGGCAGTTGACGCAATACTCCCAGTATTCATACACTCAAGCTATGCTCGGCCAAGTTGGCGCGACGCCTATTAATTGGCTCCGAGTGTACTCACACGGTCGCGCCTTCCCTCTTTTGCACTCGGCAGCGCACGGTACCTTCAACTTTCTGTATTTTGTCCGATCGCTTCGATGCCGCCCTTGCTTTATGTCTCTGATTTTACGCGTGGATAGCATGATATCACTGATACGAATTCGGCGTGTATACGTACATTTGAAAAACAACAGAAACTATAGTTGTTTTCTCCCAAAGCGTTTAATCCTCTCCGCTGATACACAAATCATTCGTTTTGAACACGGAAAATATCGAGAAAATTTTCAACGATTTCAATTTCACCTTTTTGTTTTTCCACATGTTATATACTTAAACATTTAAGTAAATGATTGTTATCTAAAATTTTTCAATGGATAAGGAAAAACTAAAATTTTTAAGAAGGTTTTCAGACATTTCGATACAATTATTTTTTGAAAAAATTTTGTAGCTGTCTAGACATTGAAAAAACTAAGGCATCCACACAGCTTTTTGGAAGAATGTTTAGTTGAAATTGCGGACATTTTTATTTTATTTTCGCTCCGATACATCGTCTTAAAAATATTCCCTTTTTCTATGTCCTTCTTTAGATTAAAGAATGCTGTAGCTAAAATTATTCAGGTTAGACATTTTTGAATGTATATTGGTTTGCAGTTATGCTGCTTCATTCTATTTATTTATAACGAAAGGCCTCCGTTTTAGTATCGGACAATGATAGTAAGAAGAAAGGTAAAGACGAGATACCCGAGTTTGTTTTCGCAGCTGGCTGCCGTTGATGTGTGTCTCTAAACTCATCACAAGTACGCGAGATTCGGCTTGGACGAATGAATAGAAATGAAAGCACGAGCTTCGGAGATTATACCGTGAAAGTATAATGAATACAAGTGAATGTATAACTAAAAACGGCTACGACTGCCCCAGACTAACTGCTCGTAACTTGATTATGCTTGTTCTCTTACCTGACTTTCTCGCTATTCAGAATAAATAGAATGGGCCATTTCTTTTGTTGTTAACTCGCTTTTTGTGCAATTTGAATTTAATTTGAATAAAGATATACACTTTTTGACTGCATCAATATAACTAATAGTTATGAATTATTGTGATAATTTATATTTTACTTGTCTAATCAACTTAATAAAGTTGAAAGTTGTACTCTGTATTTAATCTGCTGCGTATGTGTCATGTGAAAGAAAGTAAAGATGATACTGAAAGTTTAAGCAAAATAAAGTGGATGATTAAATTATTCATTTACGGGCTGGAATGAAGAAGTGAGAAAGCGTATATTTTATATACGCAATTAAATCCATTTCTCGCACCCTTTAGGAATTTGATGACAGAGTGTTTTATTTTCCTGACAAAGTTGTACGGCAGTCAAGAGAGGAAGAAGATAGTCTGCACGTGTGTGTAATTAATCTACGGAGAATTGAACCAGTTTCTTTTGTTAAATCAAATTTGCAAAGAGAAAAATTGTTCAAACGTACCTAACTTTTACAAAGTCTATATAGAAGTTCACATACGTATATTTGCGTACATATATGTACACTTTTTATATAATATAAAAGTAAATGCGTGCAAAAGAAGAAACGGTGCTATTACAGTACAGCAATGTAAATATGCAGGGGTAAGCGTGCAGACTGCGAAAACTTTGTTTCGCACTTCAATAAAAAGTATATTTTCGCAATGCATTATAGCATAATACGCACGACGTCGAGCTAGGCCGAGGATAGACGTTGGCCGCGCTGCTGCTCTGCGGGGAAATTTAACTATACCTGAAGTAGAAGAAGCTAGAAAACAAATTTATTTATTAAAATTTTTGTTTTGAGGTCATATAGACACAAATACGTGCGCACAGTGCCTCGCCACTACTGCTTGGTAGTTCAACGCGTAGGCACGACTTAATGTTAAGCAGTCTAAAGTGAATTGTGTATTTTAGGAAGAAGTTTTAAAGAAAGGATGAGAAACTTGCAAAGTTTTGGTGCAGGAAAAAATTTCATTTGTAAAGCTGTTATTCTGATTATTCTTGTGGAAATGTAGCGGGCAACAAATGCGAAACTTAACAATCACAAACATACAAGTGTATTACTTATAAAAATAGCCTTTGCTTGAAACTTTTAAAGTTACAAAAACAATTGAAAATTTTAAAAAGTCTGGCGTAGAAAAATAATGAATATTTTTTATTTCATGTAACAGGTGTCGGTCTATTGTCGAGATGATTGATCGGAAAGGAAGGAGCCGTTACATCACAATCAGTGTCTTACACATTATAACTCTAATGTGCCAAGGTACGTAATTTTCATTATTTCAAATAAACTACCATTTAGGTAGGGTTTTTCTCTAACAACCTTTAAAATCAAAAAATTTTTCACAAATTCTACAGTAATTTCAAGTATACAGTAGGATTCTTCAAAAAACGCGAACCCATATTGAATAATAATATGATAAAATATTAGATCGTGTGCACGTGTGTACGAGAAGAACGAATAAATCAGTGCACTAGTAAAGCTGTAGCTGCAGAAATAATGCAGAAGTTTTATGTGGAGGGGGTTGAGACGAGCGCACGTGCTCCGACTTCGGTTAACTCGTACAACCAATCAACATCGTAGAATATGCATATGAACGGACTTTACATGCAACTGTCACCACTGCAAGATTATCTTGAATACATTCAAATCTCCTTTATTCATGCATATGATCGAAGTCTATCACATGAAATGTTTGGCATTTGTTGACGAACACATGATTTTCTCATCGCGAAAATCAACAACCTCTCTAAGATATTTTTATACCAACTTATATGTCTTAAGGGGACCGACCTGTGTTAAAAGCTTAGATTCAAAAAATAGCTATATAAATCGAAATAGTGGAAATTTTTTTTTTGTAATCGTAAAATATGTTTATTAGACACCTGATTGACCAAAAAAAAAATTCTATTCAAGCTCTGAAATGCCAATTACGCTTATTTTTTCATAATACTAAAATATTATAATAGGATTCACTTGCCACGCGATTCTGACGTGAGCTTTTCATCAATATTGATCTATGGGGTCTGAAAATCTTCAGAAAAGTACCCTCATCCACTTAAGCGGAGCAGAATTTGAAAAAAAAGTTTGTTTTCTTTCCAAGAGCTTTAATATGGCTTCTAGTGTTGATAAAATACTAATTTTCTCAAAAATTGGCACATTTTGACGTGTATATAAAGTTGTACGCAATTTTTCAAAATTCTGCTCCGCTTAGGTGGACGAGAGTACTTTTCTGAAGATTTTGAGACCCCATAGATCAATATTGATGAAAAACTCTTTTCAAGATCATGCGGCAAGTGATTTATAACACAATATTTCGTCTTATCAAAAAAGTGATGTAATTGGTATTTCAGAGCTTGGGTAGAAGTTGTTTTTGGTCAATCTGGTGTAGAATGAACATATTTTACTATCACAAAAAAAAAAATTTCCGCTATTTCGATTCATATAGCTATTTTTAGCTGAAGCTGAATTTAAGCTTTTAACACAGGTTGGTCCCCTTAAGAATGTTCAGTCGTATTTCCTAATATTCACTTTTCACATTCACAGACTATGATAGATATCTTTTAAATTAAAAAATCTGACATTATATAATTGAAGCTTCACTTAGTTTCTTGTCACCAATTATCATTATGTAGGCAAAACTCTCAAAAATTATGAATGTTATACCATTGGTTATGATGCGTCCAACTACATTGATTTGTAAATTTTCTATTATTACACAATGGGATTTATTTAATAAGTATATGAAATATGTTCGTCTGTCGGTACCTGCCTTAATGTAGTAAATGGTTCATTTATAATTCAGAGTTACTCTTCAGCTCTAATTCACGTTATCAATGTATAAAAGCCTTAGACTTGATTCATTCTGTATTGCGCATGTCTTGCACTAAATACTTTACTGCTAAATATTTGTTGACCAGAATAAGACAATCTATTTATCTTTAGTTTATTTGCACACAGTTTTTTGATTCATACAAAATTTACAAAATCCAATGTAATGAAAATGTTCATCATTGATCATGCTCTAACTAAGGTGTTTGAATATTTTCATTTGTAAACCATGGACCTGCTGGTATATTGAGATTGATTCGAAATCGATTCAAGTTATATATTTAAAAAGTAAATTTTGATTTTAATGCGCGTTGAATTATAATAGAGAAATAAATTTACAATTTTCAAATGTTCATAATTTTTTAATGAATTTTATTCGTTTAGCAAATTGAATAAACCATAGTTTTTTTTTTCAATCTGCACACGATAAATTTGAATTCAGTTGTTTACTAGTGTTTCGAATGCCAGTCACAAATGACTTTTGAAATGTGTAGCTAATCGGTAAGAGAGAAATCTGGCAAAAAGGTCAAATGGCCATTAATATGAAATGTAAATGACTGAAAATTTTGGGAAAAAGTTCGAACGTGGGCATTAAAGCGTAAATCAAAATGGGCAAAGTAAGAGAGAATCGGTGTCACCATCGACAATATTCGTTAGCGTATGCGCATTCATTTAGTAGCTGGAAGCATAGAAATAATTGTCAGACGCGTTTTCCATATACCAAATCGACAACAGCAACAGCAACAGCAATATGGTTGAAAGTTCAGCCTTTAATTTGTCGTATTCCAATTTCCGAGGATGCATCGAGTTGTTGCTGCTTTCTCTTGATGTATAGTATACGTTGCCGGTTGCCCGGTGGCTTCACGCATACACACACCCACGCATTCCCACACGTACTGCATACTCGGCACTGGGTAAAACTGATTTGGCGGAGAACTACCAATTACGCTTTTGGTTCCATTCGTTTGATCTCCATTACCTTGATCAAATGGGGTGCTCGTTTCGTTTTCTCGCTTAGCTGTTCGTATCACTCTAGTTTTTCATGAATTCTGCACGGCAAAATCTCTCACCCGCACTCTTCTGTCTGTGTCGGCGCGCATAGATGCTGTGCCAATGATCGCACCAAGCCTCGCCCGTTCATACATCGCAACTGTTTGTGTAATCCACCGATGAACACTAGTACAAAGCCAGCCGTGGTTAACGACTGTATAGACACGTATACTCGCACAATCGAGCCGCGTATAGATGGACGAGTTTTAACAATTTTATACGATTTTTGATATAATTAACTTGATATTTTGAACGATCGCGCGCTGTATAATTATTACGGTTTTAACTTTTATTATTTAGACTATAATTCATAGCTCCGATGAGAAGAATGATTCAAGTGAAAAATAAAACAAGTTGTAAAAAGTAAACAAGGCAAGGGTGTGGATTTAATTTCATTTCGGAAAAGAAAAAATTCGGTTTGACACACGAAAAAAGAGTTCAATATAACTCGAGCATGCACACGGAATATTCTTTTGACATATAAGAAGGAAGAAAACTTTTGAGTTTTATGTAGATAGGATATAGTAGTCGCGCAGGCTTAAAGTAAAAAGTGAGTTTCGACAACAAACTCTTCTTCGGCAACTTTTATATACATTTTCTTCTTTCATCTTGCTTTTTTTCCTCCTTTTTTTTTGTTTACGTACTTATCCCGGGGTATAGAGAGAAGAAGTAACCAGCACGGGGAAGCTTGTACTTCGGAGTCGTTTAATGGGAAATTATAATCCTCACCTTACACATAGTCGAACACGTGTTTCGCAGTGCGTTTTGTTTCCAAAGCGCGATGACGTACAAGTGTAAATAATTCACTCTTGAGGCTGCGTATCGGCGGCCCCTCGACTCTCGAATGCGGCAATGATTTACGCAACATCTTAGCATAATCGATTGTACAAACGGCAAGATAATGTTCATGTACGTAGATATAAATACACGTATACACATAAGCGCGTGCGAGCGAATTGCCTCAAGGGTTGTTCATATCGATCGAGCTATGCACAGTGCCAGAGGTATAGGTTGTAAGTTTAGTTAGTCTTGCAGTCTAGTGCGGTAGTGGCTGCCGATGCTAGCATTAGTAGTAGTAGTAGTGGTGGTGGTAGTAGTAGAGCTAGTAGTTGTGTAGCAGGGAGAGAGGTAGTAACTACTCAGATTAGCGTTATCAGAAGGTAGCAACGCGTGAAGGTGGTTTACCTTGACACTGGCAAGACGTCGACGACAGCACTACAAGATCAACGCTAGCCGTAACTTCTTACATTACGAGAAAGAGAACTTGAAGGACTGTGAAGACTCTTTTCCTCTCTTGGTTCCCTAGCCACATACTTGGACTGAGAGTTGCAGCCTTCGACTCGATTCTCTCTCGCTTATATTACCCCTACCCAGCACTTATTTACACTCGAGCGAAAATTCGTTAATGAAATATGCTCCTTCAGACTCCCCGACCCTCCGTTTATTCTCCCTCGTTCGGGCTCGCTCGGTCTCTCTCCCTCTCGTTCACCCTCATTCACCACATCCGCCTTTAACTTGTTTGATTAATTATTCTCGAACTCTCCTGCCTCATCCTTTTCGCGAACATCTTGAAGATAGGCTTGTAGCCTTCGCGATCTTTCATTCCGTTTTACGCGCAGCTAATGTTCGATCGCAATTCTAATTAGTTCACTGGAATTATCGATTTCTTCTATATCGATTCTCAGCCGAAGCTCTGCGCTACGGCGCGGGCACCTTTAACGAGAATTTGCCTCAGAATCTTCTTTACTTCGCTCTCCTGGCTTTCATATGAAAAGTTTCTTCGACGAATGTCGTAGCTGATTAAACTGCATTCGCAGCCAAGTACTTTGTGCGAGAAAAGTACTGCTCGGCACACTTGAACTGTGCGAAGGAACAATTGTAAATAGTGTATATAATAAACACTATCGCAAGTACGAGAGAATGTCTGTGATCCTTGTTTCCAAGTCGAACAGTTGCAATAGATCTTGTTCTATGCTTTGGAGCATCTCTCGACTTCGACTTCATCGTTGTCATCGTCGTCGTCGTCGTCATAGGTAGAGCGGAAGAGTCGCCACCGTGAACGGAAACTCTCTCTTGAAGCTTTCCGAGCACTTGGGTGCTCATCCCCTCGAGCGCTACATATAGTCGTCTGTTTTTGTTTGCATATTCACATACATACCTCTGCATCTATATAATACAGTATATATTCACTCTGGCCCATACGTACACTCTTTCTTAGGCCAACATTATTTACACTTGCTAAAACCTTTCAAGTTTCACGTCTGCGTATTTTTGCATATAAAACAATATATTTTTTATTAAAATGTTAATTCACTTGTTTTTATGTTTGTGGCTTTTATTTTTTAGGCTTTCAGTGTCAGGTGTCAATAACGAGCGCAAGC